CTGATTTTCTCTGAGATCCACTCCAAAGCTCAAAAAAAGCTCTCAAAGTTGAGGCCGTAAGAGAGGGGGTATTTCGCGCCACCCTGAGAATCTACCTCTAAATCCAGTCAAACTCTTCATGTAAAGATAGGGAGCAAATATATTAACAGGGTTGCCACTTTGTTTACGGCCTCCAAAACTGAAAACACGGCAACCCTGCTAATTAATTTGATCCCTATCTCTGCAAGAAGAGTTTGGCTAGATATAGAAGTGAATTCTCAGGATAGCGTGGAATATCCTCTCCATTACGGCCTCTACTTTGAGGGGTTTTTTTTTTAGCTTCGGAGTTGTCTTGTGTGAATCGTTGTCTATGAAAATTTTAATGAAAACATTTAATTGACAGAGTTTCCGTAGTCAAAAAGCAGAAAAAACGATTGATTTTACAGAATTTAGGGCGGGGGTGTGGAAGCTGTGGCCCCGTTGTACATATAGCACTGAATATGTCATGTAGGAAAAAAGTCTTATAATAGTCTTATAGTCTTACCCGTAGAACGCGCTCCTGCAGTCTGGAGGTTGAACCTTAGATCACCCTGTATAATCGTGAGGTAAATGAAAATCATACAGATAAAATCCGCTCCTCTAGGAAAAAGTGAACAGAATTAAGCCAACGGAAATTTTCTTGATCGAGTCTTACGGTGAGTTAAAAATGACCAGATAGAGACTTCCATGAGGTAATAAAAATGGCGTTGTTGGATCTGAAATAATTAAAATTGTCCACAATATATTCCTCGTATTGAAAACGAAAGAAAGATAAAGAGGTGCAACTACATCTCTCATAAGATTTGACGCAAAACGAGATACTCCTGTCAACTCCTCCGTCAACCGAGCGAGAGGAACACAACTCAAAGTTGGTTCAAATTCTATGATACAACTATACGTGCTCTGCGGATGTCCGCGTTGCATACCCACAAAATTGCAGGCGTTTTGGTTTTTCTCGCTTCCATGATATAAGTGCGTTGGTTAATACGGGCATCTAGCTATATTCATTACGACGTGGAATTTTCAAAGAATGACTGGTAGATACTGAAGCAAATTCAGAGGAAATTTCAAACCATAATGATGATTTGTTTTTCTTCCAAAAAATTTTAAGTACGCGAGGTAATTTTGGGACTTTGCGCAAATGAGATTCGTGATTATAGATTTAATTGTTTTCTCGTCGATGTAACGAGACTGATCGTCGATCATCCCGATCGAGAGAGATATGAGACTTGATGCATACCTATCGATGGCTTGAGTCTAAAAATGCATCCCTCCGAGTGCGACGTTGCAGATTTGCGCTCCTATTTTGTCAATTTTTTTGTTTAATGAAAAGAAACGACGGTTTCTTGAACTTTGGGATAGTTTTCTTTCAGATTAAAAAATATACTTGAAAATTTAGATACCTACACATTTTCCGGCTTTCACCATTGATGCCTAACATAAAAGGTAACTTTCTTCGTCCGTTCGATGATTCTAAATGTGGTTGACGACTCCAGAATTGCACCAATTACCTACAGAGAGTCGCCGCTTGGGTTCAACCATCATAACCACGAGACCACATGAGAACCATTCCACTTAGTGTCAGTTATTTTTAGTATAGTTTTACCGGAGATTCGTCTAAAAAAAGTATGAGAAACGGAAAGAAAGGAAATCTACAATGAATTAAAGAGAAGCAGCCTTTTTAAAAATGGTTCATGTCTATGTAATCCATAAGTACTAAAAAATATTTTTCAGAGAAAAGGCAGTTATCAACTTACCAAAATGTTGGGAAAGTAGAAATCGTGACACAGACGACTAATAACTAAAAGAAATGTCTACTAAAAGACGAACTAGCTAACTTATTCGCTTGAAATATATAAGGCATTCTGCTAACAGAGAAGAAAAATCAAGGCAGTTCACAAAAAATTACGCGGACTAGTTTTCTGGAGAAAAAATAAAGTAGGGCAGAAAGGAGATACGTGGTTTTAAACTTTACCTATCAATATTCTTTTATAAACCCTTCATAAAGATTTCATTTTCAAAAAGTAGATGAGAAAAATAATTTCCAGCAACATCTGAGGTATCAAAATAGAAGCTTAACGGATTTGAAATTCACAAAACTTTGACTGACTGATACCTACCTCGAAATGGTAACAGCCAGAAACGAGCAATATTAAAAGAGAAGTTATTTTTTTCAGGGTCCGTCCAACAATGTATCAAAAAATAGGAGTTGCCTCTAGAAAGAAAAAAAGTTGGGGCTTCTGCCCCCTGGATACCTCTCGAAATGTTGCAGGTTCAAAAACCATTTCCGCTTCATCTAGAAGCACTCTTAATTTATTCAAAAAGTACAGGATTGTCCAAAGACGTTTAGACTCCTTTATGACGATTTATAAATACACTAGGTTGCAGCGCCAACTGTTGAAAAGAAACTCATAAAATATAAAAAGACAACTCTCTAAAAAAAACCGTAAAAATGTACGTTACAGGAAACCTTCTTTGCATACACTTTTAAGTCAAATTTATGAAGGGTAAAATTTAAGTAAGGAAAGTGTTCCAAAATTCATGAGAGATTTACTCCATTTTTTTACACCTTAACTATTTGAAAAAAATTTTTACCGAACTCTAGGTACATTAGATATTTTTCTAAATGAATTTTACGTAATTTTTATCAAAGGTAAATTTCAGTTTAAAAAATAACAAAAAAGGGTTCATTGAATAATAATTTTTGACAGAATTTCCAGGAGTTTTTGAAAATTGCTTGGTACAGAAAAGGTCACTGCTACTGGAGCACCTGACTGAACAATCGGCTTAATGAGAAGAAAACAATCAGCGATGTCATCAAAACAAAGGCACAAAATTTATTCAATGAAAACTTTATAAACAGAAATGTTCCTTATCAAAAGAACATGTGAGTAATGTGGTTGCACGAGCAACCTTGAAGGCACTAACAAATATGAAAGCAAAATAAGAAGGCAAAAATGATTGTATTATTAAAGGGCTGCACATATCTATGGGGCATGAATTTTGTTCATAAACAAGAGGATTACCAGAGTTATACAATAATTTATTACGTACAGTAGAAGCAAAAAAGTAAAAATAGTTAGGTTTTGAGTGTTTGAGCTAATATAAGAATAATGGAAAAGGAAGCTAATAAGAAAGTTAAATTTCTGATGCTTACGTATATTTCAGGGGGAATTTTTAAGACTAAAAAGTAAAAAGTATCAAAGTAGGAATTAAACAAAAATTCAACAAATAATATGAATTCAGGTAACACAACCCGGTATCAAAAAGGAGCTTAAAAATAAAAATTGAAATTGCAAGAGTACATGAAGAGGAATAAAGTTGAAAGGAGATCACTCCTCAAAATATTTTAATTTTTTTAGACATGAATTCTTATACTACATAATATTAAGGAAACTGTGATGATTATACAAAATCAAAGAGTAAATTAAATTAATAAATCTGTACCTGATTGAGCACATGGAATGTATGAAAAAATATCATCCTATATCTAATCTGAGTTCTACTTAGGACGAGAAAAAAAATTTACCAAACTTTTAGTTCATTGAAAAATAAATTTGACTAAGAATTCAAAGTGTAAACATTTAGAAGGTATGGCGGCTGCATACAACACTGGAGTAAGGATAAATGAAAGATATTTTAGAGGCAGTTCTCTTTCTTGCTTAACTTAGATACATGTAACAAGGATAATTACTATGCTAATTTAGTTTTTGGGTATTTTTTGTGGTAATAACAAACTCCAGAGATGCATTTTCTCCATATAAGAGTGAAATTTCAGCAATTTAATGGGGCATTGAAAATGAATTCTAAAAAAGGTAATACTTGCTTGAAGGAAAGAGTTAAAGAATAGAATGATCAGATGTTACTTACTTAATATCAAGATTGATTCATGGATTCCTGATATAAACAGTTTTAGAAGTTGACTTTGAGCATGCAGTGGCCATTCCAAAAATAAATTTCTCGACTTTCCTGTATTCCCAAGATAAGAAGAAATATATGAATGGATTGATATGAATGAATTTCATTCCTCACTCACCTCTCACCCACCTCTACTAGCTATACAATTCGAGAATCAGCCCACTAGTTTACTGAGGATGTTAAGTTAAGTGAATGGGCTTTCTTTTCGCAATTTTGAAAATTGCCTGAAACTTGTATCGGGTCTCAATGACTGCATACTGGCAATAATTTGGTAGCCAATAGGCTGCGAAATTGTAGATCTAAAATCAGGACAGTTAGCCAACAAAAGGAAACTAGAAAAGCAATATGGACAGCATCATTCTCACTTGGATGAAGTCTAAATTAATTGAATCATTTCATAATGGGATGATGTGGCATACCTGGAATGGAGGTTGGCTCATCAAAATGAATTCCCTGTTCGATCAATAAGTCATAAGAAATATAAAACTCATACAGAAACTTTGAGTTTTACGCAGAAATGTTCTTCTTTTTCTTCTAAAGTTTGACAATTTGAGAGGAAAAGCAGAAAAGCTTACTTTTGGAGCATATTTAGCAGCTGAAATGCACTTTAATCATACTTACACACTCTTATTAATCAAAAAATATACATAGTTGAGAATTGTTTTACAAGCGAAAATAATTATTCATGAGAAATTAAACAAAATACAGCTTGGTTTCAGTTCATCTACTTAGGTTGAAAAAAATAGAAAAATAAAACAGCATTTGATTCATTCGTCTGCAGACGTTAAAGTGATATTGAAATAAAAATTTGTTTCTTGCATTCTGTCTAAGAGCAATTAAGATTAGCAAGATCGCTTGGCTGAAATTGTGTCACTCTGACTTGATCCTCTCTTCTGACCAATCTCAGCGGTCTGATTGGTCAGTTCAGTTGCAATATGAGCAGGAGCTACATTTCCATTGGTTTGCAATAACTGTGGGATTACGACTAAAGATGCTAAATCTGGAAGTTCTTTAAGACTGGCATTCATGAAATTGCGGAAATGAGGCTGCAGGTATACCTCTAATTTTCCATCAGCTGATTCATTTGATTTCAATTCATGCATCATTTGTACGGCAGTTTTAGTATTCCTGATCCATTCGGTTTTGGCATTTTCATAGCTGCGCCTACTTTTGGTGATCCGCCAGGTAAATGGCCTTCCATCTCTAATTGTTTCACAGTCATAAGGTCTTATATCGTGAGAAAAGTAATGGGAGGAAAATTTACTGTCAAGATGTTTGTGATGAGATAGTGTGCGCTTTAAATCAAGCCTATTTTGAACTGGATTCTGTAAGAATCTATGGACCACCGCGCAATCCTCGCACTTGCATGGTGAGCCCCAGCGGGGTTTTGGCAAAGATACAGACCAATCTGTCGGAGCTTGGGGTTCAAGGCCAACATAATCCATCAGATATTTCAATAAAAGAGCTTGAACAAACTGCTTATGCAATAATGGAGGATCAGAATCAGTTCTTGGCAATCTGGATCCCAAAAATTCATTTTTTACAATCATTTGTGTGAGGGGGAAAAAAACATCCTTCGAACACTCTTTCGAACTGTTGGGGACTGCCTTAAGCATCGCAGGAATGATAGTTGTTTCAAAAAACTCGGGGGGCATAATTTTCATGGTATTCTCCACAATACACCGTATGTCATTTGCGTTTAAACTTTCCTTTTTTTTGGAAAGCTGAGCCTCCCTGCTTGCAACTAAAAACAAACGAATCCCAGATATTACAAACGATGATCTCAATAAATAATTGTTGTTCATTACTTAGTCCCTCCCCTAAGATGGATATTAACTCATTGATAAACCAAATCGTAAACATTACAGCTGCTTCGCTAATGATGGGCATCACCTCTGTTTCAAACAGACTCCAATCGATGGTTTTACATAGCTGTGCTAAGGAAGCAGCATCAGATTTTGTTGGTGTTGTAAGTTCGGCTGCAGCACTGAAAATTGCTTTATCTGACCATTGCTTCAAAGTAGCTCGTTCTGCTGAACCAGACTCTGGTAAAACCTTCTCAAAACCTTCAGCAACTACTTTCAAGAACTGCACCATTTTGGGGATAGAGGATGCAGCTTGTGTACCTTTCATCAACTGATCACTAATTGCAGCAACACCGTTTTTCGCAGTTAAGCGACCTAACATGTGGGCGTGATCAAGCACAATTTTCCCCCTCGTTTTCTCACTCGCTTTTTCAAAAAGATCGAACCAACCTAAATCTAGAGCGGTAGCTGCTGCTTGCTGAAAGAAGTCAGGAATAGGGCCTTGCCCAATATTCTGCTTTAAAGCCCGTTTGCAGAGTTTCTTTAACTTAGATTTTTGAGCAGGACCATTTGAATATTTTTTCATCAGACTGTTGAAAAGTGGCTCAATAACGCTTCCATCTGATCTGAATCGGAACAAAAAGCTGAATTTTGTGGATGGTGGTACAAGGAACACAACAGTGTCGCGATACCAGTAAGTGACTGGGCAACCCTCGTTCCCAGTGTAGCCCTCATGTACTGATTCGTCAGCTTCCCTATCTTCATCTTGAGGAGTTTCATCAATCAAAGCGTCTTCCAGGCAATCAAACTCTTCAAGGATCAGTTTTCCATCCAGGTCAACGATGTTTTTTAAGCGTGTTTCCTTCTCTTTATAATCATCATCATCATATTCCTCATCTGCATTCACTTTAAGTTCCAAAGTAGCAAGAAAAATACAGAAGTCAAGTTCCGTTGCTAGCTGGGCGAGGGTGGACACCTGGGCAAGGTCTGGTGGTTTCAGTGATCTCAGATTTAAACTAGCTGGCGTGTATTCATGTTTTAATTTATGAATCAAGATGGCTGGTAACTCATCATCATTTTGCAAGACACGCAGATCATACTGCTTCAGCAGCATTGAGAGTTGTTGTGCTCTTCCACGAACCAAATCATATGATGGTATTTCGAAGTTAGTTTGCCGAATAAGATTATACGTCAGGACAAGTCGATAACCTGACTTAACGGGAAGAACCTCATGCAGGATGTCTGAATACCATGCAGCAAATGAAAATCTATAAGCAGAGAAATCTGCTGTCTCAAACTCATACTTTTCACCGTTGAATGTCATGACCAGCTTCCCGCCTTCATGTGGAGAAGGCAAGCTAATAACCAATGTAGCAAACATACCGGGAGCCTTTTCACTATCTTTGTGTGGTTTAAAAAATGCTCCTGGCTCATATAGTAGGAGCTTGTACAGTTCTGCTGACACTCTCCCCATCCCCTTTGGGAGCCCAAGTCCTAAGATGACAGATTCTAAGATTTCTTGCTCGGTTTCTTTCCAATCAGGATTGTTGAGCGAAAACTGATTTGTGTTGAGCTCCCAGCTTTTGCGAACGCTAGTATCAATTACCGTTTCTTCTCCTTTACCAAAAGGGGACTGACGAGCCTGTGAGATGATTTTCTGGGCATCGTCTTTGGATAAAGGTAGACCAACTAGCCCATAAGGCGGAATGAAGAGGCCAGGGTTTGGTAGGGATGGTCTCACAGCACTAAACGCAAAAGCACTGGGTGTTTCCAATTCCTGCAAGGTCGACCAAATATCTGTCAGTAAGTGTGTATCCAATTGTGCATCATTGTCTTGATGGCTCATCTTGAATTTTCCCAACTAGAAAAGAACACAATTTGTATTACAAAAATTGATGACACACTGTTCATAAAGATTCCCAGTCAGAAAACACCTTGGTTCCTCACAAAAATGTTGGCATAAAAATATTCACAAAACCGAAGACATAGAGATGAAAAAATTAATATCAGAATTGTAAATAAAACATATTCCTTTGCTTCATGCCAGTACTTAGACTTTAGGTTAAATTGAAGTGTCATTTGAATGGCTTAGAAGACAAGTGGGATAAAGAGCAATTTTTGAAAAAATTTAGATGCTTTTTATAATGATTTTCACTGAAACTATAGTCTTAATATATACTCTGTGAAAAATTCACAATTGACATCCAACCTTTAAGCACAAAAAAGTGAAATCGAACTTCCTTTCTGCAATAGGACTCCTTTTTAATTTTGAAACTATAAACACACATTTCTTGAAACAGCAAAAACTGCACTCATCCTACTTGTCCTCCAAGCCCCTCATTTGATGTGATATTTTATCCCCCCTTTCTCACTCTATTTCATGTAAGCTACATTTTCATTCCAATACTTAATGCAAAGAAAACAAAAAAAAAATGAAAACAAAAATGGTGTTTTCTCTATGAGTGTAGCTATTATAGGGCTAGGGAGGGATTTTGGATAGTATCATTTGGCTCTAGAAAAATCAATACGCCAAAAAATTTTGAGTACAAATGGACTGCATTTTGCAATTAGGAACTATGATTTCCGGCCCGGTTTAGAAACAACATATGTGCCATTAGTTTCCCCATGGACATAAGTGTTTTTACGAATGAGCCAGAAATTATAATTCCGAATTGCAAAATGTAGTCCAAATATAACTCTAAATTCCATGCTCCAAAATGCACGATGAAAAGAAAAGAAAACGATGGTATTAAAAAAAATTACAAAATTTTTTGGGAAAGTTTGTGTTGAGGTAGCCTTAAAATTAATCGAATTATGAGTAAAACGGTTTTCCTGGTTAGTAGCCACTCGGCAGTGATTCAATAGTTGACATTGTAATCTGAAAGTAGACATCTAGATAAATGAAACACTTTAGGTACACTTTAGGTACACTTTAGGTTGAACTCAACAGAGAAACATAAATTGCAAAACTATAAATTTGAATTTCGGAAGATTATCTTCACTGCTCTTCAGAGCAAGCAGCAGGCGAGTCAGCCTTCTGTGGTGTAGTGGTTGTAGCGCTGGCCCTACGACCAAGAGGTCCCGGGTCCAATTCCCGGCCAGGTGATCTCAGTTTAATGGTCTCGGGCAATAGTCACCTGGGGCTAGGGTAATAAGCATGGGATTAGCTGATAGACCATTTGAAATTGGTGAAAAAAAAAAAAAAGCACATAGTATACTACTTTTTCCAAGGAAGACACATTGGTTTCCTATGAAAATTAATGAGAATCAAAAATAAGCACCTCATTAGGAAAAGAGAAAACGATCATACCTGATGTTTGGACTATTCAAAGTTCGATTTGACTGACTGTAAGATTCATTTGCAAACGTAATTTGCTCTGGACCTCGCAAAAATCATCCCAAATGATTGCTGCTCCTTTGGTAATACTGCGAATGAAAATACAACAACATTAAAAGGCTGCACTTACCAAAGTTATCTAAAAACGAGATGTTGGAGTTTTTCAGCCAACGTGCGTAAAAAATTCAGCTTAAAGCTGAAATCTCATTAGAGAGGAAAAAAGCTCACACACAAGCACAATTTTCCCTCAAAGAGATATGCTGTTTGGAGCAACACTAGTTACGTCCATTCAGGAAGGCAACTACAGACGCGTTTCGGCCTTGTTGGGCCAATCCTCAGTGCAGTCCTCAACGCGTCTGTAGTTGCCTTCCTGAGTGGACGTAACTAGTGTTGCCCCAAACAGCATATCTCTTTGAGGGAAAATTGTGCTTGTGTGTGAGCTTTTTCCCTCTCTAATGAGATTTCAGCTTTAAGCTGAATTTTCTACCCACATTGGCTAAAAAACTCCAACATCTCGTCTTTCGACCCATGCGTTCACCGCAATCGGTTGGTGTAAAGTTATCTAAGTTGATTTACATAATTAATGGCTCTGTTCTCAGCAGGATATTATGTTAGGTAAACACAAGGTCTGACTGAGTAATGCAATCCTAACTCTAAAGCCTACGACCATATTTTCAGAAAACTGAAAATAGTACATCATCCTCATATCAATTGTGCACATCCACTGGACCTACCTACACAACTGTCTTCCCTTTTAGTCTTAAAAGAGTGATATTTCGAGGAAGTGTTCATATTTTTCAAAATACAATGAAAGTCACAACTTCTTACCATCTATGCAGGTCTAGGCCTCTTTCTGCAAAAGCTTGAGATGTTTAGGTGGTGCAAGCAGATATGTTCTTCCAGCGTTGATTACAATTCAAATTCCAATCAGATTTTACTCCCAATCAATGCCAACATGAACTTACTTATGTTGAACGAATTTCAACCACAACCTCACCTCACCTCAATTCCTTTTGTTGGATAATCAAACTGCGGACAAATTAATACAAGTTTCAATCAGCCTGATTAAGTAATACATCCAAATTGACGGTGTAATTCGGCAATCACATAACTCGGTTTGCGACGTCGCAGACTTCCTGTCATACTTTATTTTTGGAACAGAAAACTACTCCACGGCAATTCTTTAAAACTGCCGTGATTTTTCTTCTCTGTGCGAAGAAAATTCTGCGAAAACTTCAAGGAATGATGTCAATTTGTTCTCCTTTAAAAAAATAACATAGAGGCGGAGATTTTCAGACACCGCAAACGAGTTATGTGATTGCCGACTTACACCGTCGAGATGCGATTCATTGCATGGTTAAGACAGGGCTACGCCTATCTTGTCGAATCAACATACATTCAATAATCGGACCCCTGGTAAAAAATTGCAGATTTCATTCCAGTAGATCAGTAGATATATCGTCATTGAGGAACTTAAGAATGGTTATAAGTAAATATTCACTATGTGACTATTGAATAAATCATGAGTCCGAGTGCAACCGAATTTTTCTAATGATTAAACATTGCTGAAAATATCAAGACACAAGACCAAGAAAAGGAGTTCATAGAACTTACGTAACTTAAAATCAGTCGAAATGATGAAGCAAAACCTCTTTGCCAGGCAGGAAAAATTAAGCTGAGAGAATAAAACCCAGGACAGCGCCGAAATTCGAAAATCACACGAATCTGAAACCTAACCAAACAAGTAACAAGTTTCTTAATGTTTCCCGCGATGACACTGATTTTTCTGAATGGATATTGGAGAAGAAACTTCTGGACAGTTCCAAGTTCAATTCGCTAGTTTATTTACCTCAGAAGTTTTTGAACTGAAACATCAATTACAATCTTGAAAATCGCACCTGCTCACATCACATGGGTCCCTGTCACAACTCACGTGGTTTGATTTTGTTTTGTTGACAAACGCGAAGACACCGTCTTGGCGCTAATCCGCCAATCAGCTGACGCTGATATGTTGATTAAACCAATCGCGGAAGGTAGGCATCCAACGTAGATGTGTAGCGTAAGTTGCATTTTCTTTTTTTGAAGGCTAAACTAATGGACACATGAAAATTATTCGCTTGAAGCTTGAAGAATATGTATGTACTCTTACAGAGCAAGCGCAAGGCATAGTCAAAAAGGTAAAATTCCTTTCTTCCATTATTTCACACCAAAGAAAAAAATAATAATAACTAAATAAATAAATAAACAGAAATACAAAACGCTGTCAAAATGTTTTAAAACTTCAGTTGGTTCCCCTGAAAAATATGGAACTAATCAGGAAATAGTTTTAAAACGCTGCAATCCAAATCAAGCTACAAGTGGTATGGCAATCATTTCTGGAAAAAGGAGTACCTCACTCACTTGTGCACATTTAGGGAAAAAGGGATCCAGTCCACAGAGATGAATTGTTGTTCACTAGAAAAATTTGTGTCAACTTCAGTAAGAATTCAATCAAATTTTTTATTGAATACCCCCAAAACATATACCTACAAAACGGTTGAATTAATTTCTGTGAGGGCAAAGATCTGCATTTTCAACTGATAGTTAATTGCTGAATCCAAAATAAGGCAGCAGGTAGCTTAGAACTTTTTACAGCGTTTTCTTCGAAATGTTCTTTGAACTGTGAATTTCAAATTTTCTTAATTGTGCTTCAATTTGGAATTTTTGGGTATTAATTGAACCAATTTTTTAAAAAGAACATCCCTCTTCGAAGCGGTGCTAAATTCTCTTTAATGAGTTCTTTGGCACTGAAGTCCGTTTTCCCACTGACAATTACATTAGAGAAAAATGAATCTTTTTGGTGTTTTTTTCTCCTTTTAATAAAGTGTTTCTTTTTCATTCCATTTTTAATCCCTGCGTTTCTCACGATCACAGTTGCTACCATTACAGTTTGAAAAAGTCTAAAGAATTCATAGTTTTTTCTGCTTCATATTTCCTTTCTCATAAATTTCTCTGTAAAAACACAAATGAACTCATAGAAAATTTTCAAAATATAGCATAAAAGCATACTAGGAGTCAGTTTCCTGATTTACAAAAAGTGTTTTGAAGTTACCTTAGAGAAAGTTTCTAGACCATTGAAAAATATCTATACTGGAAATTAAAAAAAAGAAGAAAAAAAAGACGTACCTATTTGACTGGGTCAGCAGCCAAATTCAATTGTTGCACTAAATTTAAAAAAGTCAAATACTTGAAGGAAACGTTTGGAACTTCAGGGCTACTATCAATTCCCTTGTGAATTAATTCTTTTCAAGTTTTTCATCTGCGTAAGTACTTACTTGAGACTGCTCGCTCTGACTTTAAAACTACATATCTGTTTGCTTTAGAAATTTGGTGAGAAAGTACACCGAAAAAAAAAAGGTAAGTTAAATTAACAATTTGAATGTGAAAAAAGTGTGCGAGAACTTATAAATGCTGAATTACCCGCCACAGCACTTAATTTTACATCTTGGCATTGCTGAAGTAACTGCTGTGGCAGGTATTTTAGCATATTGTAAGTTCTCGCACACTTTTTTTACATCCAGAATGTTAAATTAACTTCAATTTTTTTTCGGTGTAGATTGAAATATCAAGATGTATCAATTCTCACCTAATGATTTGAACTTATCTACAGGGTGATCCGTAAGTCCCACTATAACACGTAGGGTTCTTGCGTCTTGCCCCTTTACAGAGGGATCTCCTTAAAATTTTGGGGGGCCTCAAAAGGCGCTTACTTTGGCCTAGGAGCTTACAAAAAAGTTCAAATCTCTATCTCAATGTTTACAAACGTTACAGGGGTAACGCATGGGACTGGTTGTGCGGGAATTCAGGATCATTCTGTATTTTTTGTTGTGTCTGTAATGGTTTGGGTATTTTTGTTCTATAAGACTTGGATTATTGACATTGTGGTTTTGCAACGTGCAGTTAAAAAACAAAATATGAGAAAAATAGGTAGGTACCAATAATCAATAACAATAAGAGATTTAGAACAGAACATGAGGGTAAGTTTAATTCCGGATAGGTAACATGCATCTTTCATAGAGAGATTAAAACTAAAATAATATAAAAATAAAATATTGAACGAAACATTAACACAGTTACTCAACCAGAGATCAATATTATAATTACTCCAAAAGTAAACTTATCTAATTAAAGGAGTATGTAAGCAGAAATAATGAGGAATGGTAACCATTTCTCATCATTACGATTCTGGGCAAACTTTTTGAAAATATGTTATGTGCATTAATGTAATAAATATCAGGTATCAAAAAGTAACTTAAAAACTAATGAGGCACTTGTGAAGGGTACGAAAAAAAACATAACATAATAATTAAAATTAAACATTCTGCATCAAATCTACTTTCATTTGACATTATGAAGGAAATTAAATCCTGAAAGTGTTGAACAATTGTAGTTGTAATCTCATATCATCTTTACTTCTGTACCCACTGAAGTAAGGAAATTTAAAAATTTACAGAAATAAGAGCAAAAATTACAGAAGCTCCAAAAAAAGTGAAAATTGAAAAAAAGTGGTTTTATCAAAAAAATTGAGATTACCGTTCAGCAAACGAAAATACTCCACACTTTGCGGACTTGAGAGAAACTTCCGAAATGGGTACATATAATGTTCATTTAAACATTAAAGAGCTTATGGAATGACTTGTATTTTGAGGTACAAGTTTAAAAAGTTCTAGGTTTGTTCTTCAATTGGTTATTTTGAAAAATGAGAATACTTTTTTCCAAAAACACAATAACAGGTGATTTTGAACTTAAAATTGTAGAAAAAATTAAAATACAAGTGAGAAAATGTCAAGTTATATAAAGATCACAAGAACTTGGGAGACTCAAGTAAATTTTACTCATTTGGAGGAAGTTATGAAAATAAAACTTTTTAGAAGTTACTGTGTCAAAAACTAAAATTGGATGAGTGACAAAATTGAGGATGTAATCACGCTGCGCAAAAGGAACACAAAATTGGAATATTCACAAGTAATGAATGCAGTCATTAAACACATTTTACTCATAATTTGAGTTTTGAAAAAGGATCAAAATTGTGTGAGGCCCTTGACATCATCGGCTGCACAAAAAAAAGCACTTTAATTTACAAGGTAATTTCAAAGAAACTAACAAAAATTAAACAATATTAATAAAAAATAAAATGAGCAAATATTTAAGTCATATATAATGGACAGATTCCTTACATTCTAGAGGGTAAGCATCAACCTAGAATTTAAAGGCCACGGCAGATAAAATTTCTCCTTAGCCTTTCAAAATAAAGATACTAAAAAGTGACTTTGTATCACTGAAATGCATGACTATCTTAGCTTAATGTTTTTATCGGTCGGAAACAGACATTGTCAATGAGAACTTATTAATTGAAAAATTATCAGCAAGGAAAACTTAAAAAAGTGCTGGCTTCAGTTATCCTTAAGGGTCAGTTTAAAGAAAAAATCCATTTTTGACCTCTTTCTCGTAAGCAATCAAGATTAACTTTTTCGTTTAGCTGGTAAAATGACAACCTGGCTTGCTCCTCTTTTCTGACCAACCTGGACATTCTGATTAGGCAGTAAAAATATGTTCGGGCCAATCTGAACAGCCTGATTAGGCAATAAAATTAAATTCTGAACCTGTGCAACATTGCTCTGGTTTGCTTCACTGTTTTGAACAATCTGAATAGTTTGATTGAGCGGCACAGATCCATCGTGAGCAGCGGCTACATTTTCATTGGTATGTGATAACTGCGGAACTGCAACTAAAGATCCCACTCCGCTTTTCTGAAAAATCTGGACATTCTGATTGGGCAGAGCAGATAAATTGTGAGCAGGAGCTGCATTTTTATTGGTCTGTGATGACACTGAAGTTGCAAGCAAAGTTGCCATTCCTTTCTTCTGGACGATTTGAACAGTTTGATTGGGCTGCGCAGATACATTGTGAGCAGGAACTACAGTTTTATTGGTCTGCGATGACTTTGAAGTTGCGCCCAGAAATGTTGTTCCTTTCTTCTGAACAATCTGAACAGTTTGATTAGGCTGCACAGATACATTGTGCGCAGGAGCTACATTTATAGTGGTCTGCGATGACTGTGGAGTTGCACTCAAAGAAGCTGCTTCTTTCTTCTGAACAATTTGAACAGTTTGATTGGGCAGAGCAGATACATTGTGAGCAGGAACTACAGTTTTGTTGTTCTGCAATGACTCTGAAGTTGCGCTCAAAAATTTCGTTCCTTTTTTCTGAACAATCAGAACAGTTCGATTGGGCTGCGCAGATACATTGTAAGCAGGAACTACAGTTTTGTTGGTCTGCAATGACTTTGCAGTTGCGCCCATAAATGTTGTTCCTTTTTTCTGAATAGTTTGATTGGTTATTGCAGGTGCATTAGGAGCAGAAGCTAGATTTTTGTTGGTCTGAAATGACTGTGAAATTGCACCCAAAAATCCTCCTCTTTTCTGAACCGTTTGATTGGGCAACATAGATACATTGTGAGCAAGAGCTACATTTTTATTCATCTGCCATGAAATTGGAGTTGCACCCAAAAATCCTCCTCTTTTCTCAGTTAGATTGGGCATCACAGATACATTGTGAGCAGGAACTACATTTTTATTGGTCTGCAATGACTTTGAAGTCGCATCCAAAAATGTCGTTCCTCTTTTCTGAACGATCTGAACAGTTTGATTGGTTAGTGCAGCTGCACTATGAGCAGGAGCTACAGTTTTGCTGGTCTGCAATGACTGTGGAGTTGCACCCAAAAATGTCGCTGCTTTTTTCTGAACAGTTTGATTGGGCAACGCAGATACATTCTGAGCAGGAGTTACATTTATATTGGTCTGCGATGACTGTGGAGTTACACGCAAAGAAGCTGTTCCTCTCTTCTGAACGATCTGAACAGTTTGATTGGGCGGAGCAGATACATTGTGAGCAGGAGTCACGTTTTTATTGGTCTGCGATGATTGTGAGGTTGCAACGAAGGATTCCAAGTCTGGGAGCTCTTTAAGATTGGCGTTCATGAAACTACTGTAATGAGGCTGCAAATATGACTCCAGTCTACCATTAACTGGCTCCTCCTTTTTCAAATCAGACAGAGTTTGCACAGCAGCTTCGGTATTTTCAGACCATTTAGCTTTGTTTCTTTCGTATATACACTGATTCTTTGTGATTCGCCAGACACATGGATTACTATTCCGAATCGTTTCACATTCATAGTTGTGCCACATGCAGTCTTCAAACGCTTCATAAAGATGCCGGCGCCGATCCTTTCCGCATGGAATATCAAGAACTTTTTGTACTGGATCTTGTAAGAATTGGTTGACTTTTCTGCAGTCCCCACATCTGCAAGGTCCATACCAGCCCCTTTCAACAGGAGGAAGAGACCAATTTACAGGAGCTTCAGGTTCCAAGCCGACATTTTCCTTCAGATATTTCAAGAGAAAAGACTGAACGAGACTTTTGTGCAACATTGGAGGAGTCTCATCATTAGCTGGTAACCTGAAGCATCCTACTTCATTTTTTATTATCATTCCTATGAAGGGGATAAAGACATCCTTTGAGCACTCTTTTGAAGCATTGGGGACAGCACTAAGCATAGCAGGAATGACAATTGTCTCGAGAGATTTGGGAGATAAAATTTCTAGGGTATTCTCAACAATGCTACGCAGGTCATTTGCATTTAGATCTTCTGCTTTCTGCTCACGACTAGCAAATGAAGCTGACCCTTCTTGCTTCAGATTAAAGACAAATGCATTCCAAATTTTGTGAATGATCATTTCAATAAATGATTGTTGTTCTTTATTGCGTTCCTGCTGTAGGTTTGCCATTAACTCATTGATGAATGATATCTTGAGCATCGTAGCTGCATTTAAAATGACTGGTGTTACTTTTGACACAAACAGATTCCAGTCCACAGTTTTACACACTTGTGCCATGGACGCTGCATCTGCTTTCGTAACAGTCTTCAGTTCAGCGATAGCTGTGAAAATTACTTCATCGGACCATTGCTTTAAGCTAGATTCCCTCAGAAGCTTATATTCTTCAGTCATTGTATCTTCAGCAGAACTAGATTCTTGCAAAGCTGTTACAAAGCCTTCAGCAATCGATTCCAAAAATGCCAACTTTTCAGCAATAGAGGAAGCTGCTTGCACGCCTTTTGTCAGTCGATCACGCATGGCAGCAACACCTTCCTTTGCAGCCCAGCGACCCAACGCACGAGCATTGTCAAGCATCACTTTATCACCTCTCGATTTACATGCTACATCAAAGAGATCAATGCGACCTAAATCTAAAACGGCCGCGGCTGCTTGTTGGAAATAGGGTGGAATGGGCTCCTTAGATAAGTCATAGCCGTAGTAGCGTTCTTTGGGTTTTTGTTTCAACGCAAGCTCACAAAGTTGTACCAACTTTGGTTGTTTATTTGGATCCTTCGAGAATTCTTGCATGAGTTTGCAGAACAGTGGTTCAATAACTTTTCCTTCAAAACCAAATTCAAACACAAAGTGTGCTTGTTTTGAAGGCGGTACAAGGATTGCAACTGCATCTCTATACCAATTAATGACTAGACAGCCTTCGTTCCCTGTGTGGCCGGTAGTATACTTATCATCCGCTTTAGCAGCATCCTGGGGTGTCGGGTCAATCAATCCACCCTTTGGATAAGCGAATTTCTCTGCAATAAGCTTGCTATCCATGTTAATTATTTTTTTAAATCTGTGCTTGCGCTCATAATAGCCGGGATTTTCTTTGTCGAACTCAATTTTGAGTTCTAAAGTTGCAAGATAAATATCGAACCCAAGTTTGGTTGATAGCTGGGTAAGTGTTTGAACTTGTGCAAGATCTTGTGGTTTGAGAGACTCAAGTTGAAAATTAGCCTCTGTGTATTTATGCTTAAATCTATGCACCAAGAGGGGCGGTAAGGTGTTATCTCCTCCCTCAAGGCGTGACTCATACTCTTCGAGGAGCTTCGAAAGTGCTTGCATGCGCCCACAGATTAACTCATATGATGGTACCTCAAAACCACTTTGGCGACTTAGATTGTACGTCAGCATGAGACGGTACCCCGAGGTTACCGGAGTGACTTCGTGAGTAATGTCTGCATACCATGCTGCATAGCTTATACTGATATTCGAAGACTTGGCTGTTTCAAACTCATACTTATCATCTCCGTGTGTCAGTATTACCTTCCCACCCTCATGCGGAGAAGGTAGGCAGATGACGAGCGTTCCAAACATGCCAGGCATCTTTTCACTGTCTGTGTGTGGCTTGAAAAAAGCTCCAGGCTCATACAAAAGAAGTTTGTGGATTTTAGCTGAGACCCTCCCTGATCCTTTTTTGATACCTAATCCTACAGTGACATCATCTAAGATCGATTTAATTGCTTTTTTCCACTCTGGATTTTGAAGCGTAAATTGGTTCGGGTTGAGTTCCCAGCTTTTGCGGATGCTAGTATCAACAATGGTATCTTCTCCTTTGCCAAATGGGGATTGGCTAGCCTGAGAAATTATTTTTTGAGCCTCACCAGCAGAAAGTGGTAGTCCTACAACACCGCTACGCTTGAGACACAGGCATGGATTGGGCAGAGAGGAGCTGCTGGCACTGTAGGCAAATGCACTTGGTGTTTCTAATTCCTTCAGACTCATCCAAATCTTAGTCCGCAAATCTCCAAGTGGTCTTGGCTCGCTTGGTATTGACTTCTTTGGCATTTTGACTACCTGGAACAGAATATATAAAATAGAATTCGTACAAACAAAAATTGAAGAAACAGCACAAATAAGAGAAGAGATCTTTCATAAAGATCACAACTGCTGAAGGGCGAAATTTTTGACATAAAATTTTCACTACTTCTATTTACAATAAGACTTGTCCGGAACTTGTGTGGTATTTGTTTCACCAATTTAAATTGTGGCCGATGATGTTCTACTCATAAATTATACTAGTCATTCATAATGTCAAAGGATTCCATTTATGCAAGAGCAAATTCATGCATGAGAACAAAGTGCTCTAGTAGTGAAAAGTTAAAATAAAACCTAAAAGACAGACTGGAAAATAAATTAATCTCTATGAACAGATGCAGTTTTACAAACTTGATGTTTCAATGAAGAGACGATATCATGAGAATTCCAGTTCTGTACTGAATTTCAACGTATGATGGGAAAGTAACCATTTCTCTGTTCATATGAATGTAATACTACCTACCACGCACCAGAGATTACCACAAGATTAAATTTAATTTGATTCAGGTAGGCATCTTCAAATTGAAAAGATCGTTAGATATTTTAATAATGGATTAGCCTTTCCTTTCGATTTACTAAGTACGGCTGCAAATAAGAGACATTAAAAAGAGACAAAAATAAAATTTTCAGAATCAAGCAGCATGACAGCTTTTTGGACAAAGGAATACTTCAACCCCCCCCCCCCCCCCCCTTGACTGGATGTCTAGTGTGTTTCAGTCATTAATTATTATACAATTATTTTCTTTAATCAAGCCTTAAAATTTTATCCTCCTATGAAGTAAAATTTTCAAAGACAGCAATGAATTGCAATGAAAAACTAATTAATTTTAAAAGAACTAAATACAATTAATCTGTACATATTTAACAGTTGTTTTATTGTTATTTATTACTACTGAAAACTCTGCTACATGGGCTCAACTTCTGCACCATTTTATGCACATTTTTTAATTGGAAACATTGGTTATTTAGGGAGGTAGTAAGTGTGATTCCTTACTAGTGCTAGAGCATTTTCCCTTTCCAGTAAAAAAAACGAATCTTACCTAAAATACATTCGCTTTGATACCTGTCATTGTGATGTGATCATGATTTCTGCTTTTAAAGGGAAAGAACTTTCAAGCACAAATTAAAAAATTAAACACAAAAAAGTGGTCCGAAACTGTATTTAACAAGGTGGAGAAATGGTGCGCATTAGAGTTCTAAAAATTCATTTTTGACTCTAATTTTAATTTGTGGTATTTCTTGGCTTTGTTTCCCCGCGAAACGGTGTCTTTCAAGCACATCTATCAAATTTTTGTTGAACTTCCCAAAACTGATGAGGATTTTTAGACAATTTTCAAAAGCTTTCAAGAATTTTTCATAAATCCCTATTACAGAAAATGCTGATTCATCTTCACCCAAGTAGCACGGTGCAATGCAAATATTTATATTAAATTGCAGTTTGATTTAAATAAAATTGTTATTTTTTCACCCTTAAGTTGCAATATTTTTCCATCATCTAGTCGATTTACGCCGATTTTAAACAATCGACAAAATGTGCTCCATGTATCAGAGAGATAAGCAATATGCAATGCCATGAAAAATTGCAACTTATTTCAATTTTGATGCAATAAGTTTCAATAAATGGGGCCCCTTCAAATAGGAGCCAGGCAATATATACAACACTCAGTGGAACAGCAATATTCATTCTTACTATGCAATCTGTGCTACTTGGGACATGGTATCCCTAATACAGGAAAATTCACTAAAAAACGACAGTAGCTGAACCCAATGAATTGATGTGAAAACCTATCCCTGCATTTGAAAATGCTACAAAATTATCAGCATTTTCCAAATTGTGGGAACTGTGTCAATACACAATGATAATAATGAAAAACTCGGTACTTACATATTAATTTATTCTAAATATTTCTAAGAATAACTGCAGGTAACATACCTCATAAAATAGCTGACAGTGCAAGTTGGCTGAGACTCAATCAACAACGGAACAAACTCGATTCACTACAACTTGATTACTTCTTGCCCTGAAATTGAAAATGACTCATTAAGAAACTGTAATTCAAATTTTCCTGGGAAATAGATGGAGATGTCCTTATTTAGTTTACCTGAAAGGCACCCATGTCATTTCAATAATCCTCTTTCGGGGTTGCCATAATTCTTCATCTTCTAATTCCCTGACTTTCTTTGATTTTTCCTGACTCCAAAATTTTCTAATTCCCTGACCTTCTAACAAAATTTCCACCTATTTTTTCTTTTATTAAATACACTGACTTTTGCTAACCTTGGACATAACTTCCTTGTTTAAAGATTCTACAATGGATAAAAATGGTATTCTGTGGCTGGTTAAAAGATGACATAAGCCTTAAAAAGACCATAGAGGGTAAACAGTTGGAAGATCAGTGGTATGTTTCAATTATTAGTAGGTGCGGCAGAAATCCCTGGACTTTCCCTGCTTCCTCAGACCGCTAGCAACCCTTAACCTTGTTTCATCATTTGGATTAAAAATTGAACTAAAAAGAGCAATCTGAAAATGTTTAGATGGTTTAAGGGTTTGAAAACTTGATTCAGCTCATTGGAGAAACGGTATGAAAACATACATTACTTACCATACTTATGTATGAAGGTAAGGTGTATTTCAGAAATTGCAACGAAAGAAAGAAATGCAGTAGCATTTTGTGCAAATATTGACTTACATAAATAACTAAGCACATTGCTCTGATGACAGTTAGGGCTGTTCAATCGGTTGTCGGTAAGCTACCGAAACAGTTCCGTTAAGAAAAAGTTACGATAAGAGCGCTCTTGTCGATAGCGATCAGAGTTTTCGGAGCTGGCGAAAATAAGCTGTTGCCATTTGTACATCTATTTTACGCGCCGCCGCGCCAGGCAATCTGATAAACCGACACACGGGGCAACAATGCATTGAGTGCGAGCTCTCAAAAATCCGATAAGGCCGCCTGTTGTCGATATCATCGCTACTGTCGGTACTGCGCCAGTTTCAATAAGAGACGATATCGATAGTGTTCCGGCAAGAATTCGTTTGAACACCCCTAATGCCAGTGTTGAGGAGTGTGTTTGGTATCCATGCAAGTTAATACCTGTGCTATGCGTCACTACGATTCTCTCAATTTGTGACTTGCACCTTGACCCCATTGACATCAAAATTAAAAAATACCTAATTTTGCATTACTTAGGTATACTTAAATGACACTTTCAAAGATGCGGCGCAACATATTCAGGACAGACACCTGAAGATGTTTGGTTTCATTCCCACATCACTACCTGGCGCTCTGAGACATACACTTCACTCTGAATGAAAGTACCTCAAACTCAAACTATGATAGTAAAATTGGACGTATTTCTACCAAACAGACCTATGTGTCGATGAGAAATGTGGGGTGTGCTCTAGAAATCTGCATAAGAAGCAATGTAAAAGTGGGCATGGTTCCTTTTGAAGAATTGGAAAAGCGGGATATTGCATTCTATCAAACAGACCTATGTGCAACTGAGTGCGGAACTCATGAGCCGCGGGCATGGCAAGAGAGCGTTGTGGACAGGGCTCATGAGTTAATGAGCACGACTACCGCAACCACGAGGAACGTGACGCGACGTCCTCCTCCGTTGACGTCACTGGCGCACAATTATTCTCATTCACTCGCCACGCAAAGAGACTAACGAGCACACCCCATATTTCTCACTTCCACATAGGTCTCTTTGGTAGAACTACGTCCAATTGTTTCTTCAAATTCCAAAGTTTTGAAGGATAACAGAGTTCTCTTCTCTGAAACTTTTTTCACATTTTCTACAGTCTTGCATGTAAGTAAGTGTACCCCCTAAATTTCATGCCATACTTATATAAACTAACAGTCTCTTCAAAAGATGAAGTGAATATGGGGATTCTAGAACGTCAGCATTGAAAAATTCATTATGAACTGATCGGTCGAGTTTCTTGCTCCAGCAAGTGAAGCTTTCACGGTACACAGCATACTGCTTTTCCATTCACTGTATTCAATATGGAGAGTCAAAACTGCATCAGATCCTGACAAATCGACAGACAGAGCATAGAAAAGTCTCCCTAAAATTCAATGATGCAATCTTGACTGTCAGCAACAGGTCAGACCAGCTAATTTCAGAGCGATGCGCCAGCCACAGCACAGAAAATGTTTCAGTTCTTGAGGCAAATGTGTACTTTATACTAATATTTGGCAACTCTATCACACTAAACAATAGACTTGTCTGGACAAATTCTCATTGGAATCGTTTCAGCGGAACCTAGCCATCACAGGATTCGTGTGAAACCAGACCAATAACAGCAACTTTGGGAACCATTCCAAAAAGAGTCAGTTTCTTCTTTCCACATTTTTGCTGGAGAATTGTTTTAAATTAACAGAGAAGGAAAGAGGAAATTTGCAAATGATTATGGGGAGGCAGCTTGCTTTAGGAATGGTTTGTGTCTTGAGCCGACTGAGTCATCTGGTAATATCATTACAAATATCTGTCAGCTGGAAAAATCAGTGATAGATAAACTTACCATAATATTAGAGTACAAATCTATGACACAGAGACTTTCTTAGAAGAGGATCCGGGCAAAAACTGTGAGTTGATAGCTGAAAATTAGCGGAAATAAACACCGTTAAAAGCAAAACATGTGATAAGAACATGCCGCGCTGAAATTTTCATTGGTTCTTCTTCTTGTTTTGACGTAACATGCTACCTGGCGGTCAGAATTTTAACTATATACTTTCGCGCAAGTGTCGCCCGATAGCAATTTGCAGTTATGTTATGCAAATTGCATCAGTGCTTTTTGAAGGAAAACCGTGCGACATATTAAATTCCGAACAGTAAGAGGGAACCAATAAGTAACTGGTTGTGTTGTTTAATTGCGAAGTTGGAAACTTCGGTTCATGCTGAATTTTCTCATGAGAAAACTAGCTAACCGTTGTTAGGAAATTCCGCACAGCGTTCAAGTTTCTTGAGAGTTTTTCTCTAATTTTTAAGCACCTGAAACTCTTGGAAAAAATGATTCAATTCCTTTTAAAAAAAGTAATTATTTTTTTCCGATCTTGTTTAAGTGAACCTTACGTTAGGAAATAAAATATAAGTATAGGTTTCTCGATAAATTATTTTATCAATTTTTTTTTTTTTTGGGTGAGGTATGCTATTTAGGATCATTGCTTCTAATGCTGTCCTAACTGATTTCCTTCTATTCTCCGGTTCGGATGATTTACCGCAAGTTATGCATCTAAAATGTTTTGAAACGACACACTTTTGCCTTGGCCTCTCCCAGGGAATGCGATAGATTTTGCTGAGTCAATGCATAGCATATTTGTCATCTTACAAATTGTGATTAAATCAATTTTTCGGTGAGAACAGCTCAAACAAATTGTTTTAAGGGCAATTTTTCAAACTTTTCTAAGGGGACTCTCCAGACACCCCCCCCCCTCTTTAGCTTTAGGAGTTCCCCAGAATCCACTCAATGGGGTGTCTTCTTCTGCCCCCCAGGCCCCTCTCGATTTAAGTCGGCAACCCTCTCAAGAAAAGTTCCTAACTCCGCCTATGTCCCGTTCTTCCACTGAATTTAAATTTGAATCTTTCTGCCCTGGTAAAAATAGGCGATAGGAGCTGCGTTTCAAAATACCATAGGAGTTCTTATGGCCGACTAAAGAAGGCTATAGAAAATCATATAGCTGGCTGTAGAAAGCGGAGCAAATCATTTAGCCGGGCTATACGAAGCTATAAAAAAGTATACAGTCGGGCTATAGTTTCTGTCGCCGGGCTTTTTACACTTTATCGCCATTGGCTATAAAAGGCTATAAGAAATTGTGTAGAAATTCGTGTGCTTTGGAAATCGTTAAGTTTTTTACGGAACTACCTTAATATTTAACCTAACACACATTATATTTTCCTTTAAAACACATTTTTTTTTCATCAATTAAAATGAGAATAATCCATACAGGGTGTGCAAACATTTCAGAACCATGAGTTGAAAAACGCTGACTCCGCGAGATTAAATATTAGAGCCTAACACAAAGCGGAGCTGCGACGCACTGGCGCCTACAAACCTAACAGGGATACTTCACGCATTGCGCAATGCGTGAAGTATCACTGTTAGGTTTGTAGGCGCCAATGCGAGTTTCGCGCTCTCCATCCGCCCGCCGCGCCGCAGCGTGCCACGGCGTATGAAGCAACTATTTCACACTAGAGGTATTGCACAGTATCATAAGAAATTGAAGGCGCTCCAACATATTAAGAATGACAGGCATCCTTCAAAAGTACGGAGCATTTCTCGCAAAATATATCAAGATACTACGGCACAAAAAGAGAGCGGTAGTTCAACAACTCACTAAGTCCTAGCATCCGTATTTAGAACCGTTTAGCATACACTTTATCGTCTGGCTAATTTTTAATCGCCATCGGCTATAAAAGGCTATAAAAAATTGTACAGCCGGCTATAGAAGCTATTGGAAATCTTACAGCCGGCTTTAGGTCCATGGTATTTTGGAACACAGATTCTACTCCTGCCAATTTTTACCAGGGTGGGAACAGTTTACTTCCATTTGCGGGTATTTTCTTACATACTTAGAAATGTTTCTCTTTTTCCAATCAAAACCTTCTACCACCACCCTTTGTCTCTCCCACCCCCCCTTTCTTCCATACTTTGCGTGAAATGGTAGGGATATGAGTCGCAGGAGCTTAATTGGACTACATTTTGCAATTATGAACTATAAATTCTAGCCCGGTTTAAAAACAACGTATGTGCCATTAGTTTCCCTATGCACTAACGTGTTTTTTCAGATGAGACAGAATTTATAGCTCCAAATTGCAAAATGCAGTCTAATTGCTTCTCAACGTTTCAAATTTTGACACCTGACGTCTTTTTGAGCGTTCACCACGCTATGCGTAGCGGACGCTTTTTCCGGAGATTTTTTCGACGCTGGACGTAACAATGTGCCATGTAACCATGGTGCATCCCCGTGTTGCTTTATGGGTGATGACCATTTTTTTACGGTGGGAGCGATATTTTTTTCTCATATTTGTTTGATAATATTACTTACGTTTTTCTTTGTAGTGATGCACTTAATACAATCATGGAACGCTTTTCTTTCACATAATTTTTGTGAAACTGTTGAGCTCAATCACGTTTTTATGTTAAGTTCCAGTTTTCCTTCAGGAATTTTGCCTGCAACGCTTTTTTCATTCCATCAACGTGTATGCATTTCACATCGGAGGTATCCAAAAAGTTTCGTCGAGCTGCGAGAAAATTTCACTTAAAATCTCGAAAGAAAATCCTCAATCATTTTTTGCTACTTGTGGTAACAGTCGAATATTGGCAACAACCCTTCTCCCAACCGGAACCCCCACTTTTTCTGGTCCTGGACAGCCAGCCCTCGTGGTACCCAGTGCCTATATACTTTTCTCACAGAGGCACTCTACTCAAAATATTTTTTAGAAGTTGTATCAATATTTTTATAAGATAGCAATAACGGAAATATTTTTAAAATATTTTTAAAATATTGCCGGCTATCTGGGTATACTTTTCTCACAGAGGCACTCTACTCAAAATATCCTCTTTCGAATCGCGCGGCAAAAGGGTATTGGTTAGAAACTTCGAGTTCCTGCAGTTTAGCTCTTGCGGAAAACGATACCAGCGTCTCCCTTACCTTGGGCAAAGACAGGGTAGCGCGTCTAAACGAGGAAATCAGGTGGATTTACCCTTACCGTAAATCTATCGAGCGTTGCGCACAAGTTTAAGTGAAGCCGATACACTAGCCTCCCAGACTAAATTTACGAGGGGATTTGAGGAGTTGAGGTTATGCCGCTACTCGTAAATCCATCTGAGGTTTCTTTCCGTCCCCCGCACTCCGCCCCTCGTCCGACAACCTCCCACCTTCCCGCCTGCTCAACAATGTCTTAATCCCTTCCCCGCAAATTTCAATAACTGGCTCGTGAATAAATTGGCTAATTAAAGTCTTTCCCGTGCAGTTAGAAGACTTTTTTGAAAGTTTCACGACTCTATCGAGATTTAGCCGTGAGGTTTGGCGATGCATGCTGAAACCAAAATGACGTTTTCTTCTTATTTTGGCAAGAAAACCGATGGAAAAAGTGGGAGACCACGTATCTCTGTTGGCAACATTGCAGACTTCCTACCATACTTTGCTTTTTTCCTGGAAAATTTGAAAATGTAATTTCTTGGAAATTTCCTTAATTTTTCTTCTCTGTAAGTCAGAGTCGGAGTGGCCATAAGGCCAATCAGCCATTGCTAGATACGCCCCCTTGACACATCGAAGATGGCCCTCTTGCTAGATATAGCAAAAAAGATGAGAGAAAAAATTATGACCAAGGAAAAATGCGGGTAATTCATGAATGAACGGGAGAATAGAAAGTAAGAGTAAAAAAAGGTCCTCGTACGCATGATAGTACGCAAATGGAGGTCCTGGAACTATAAACCGGAAATAAGACCCCAAAAGCGCCTGGGCCTACAAAAATGCTTGAAAATTGATGTTTTTTTTGTTCTTTTCTTAATTTGCTGAATCAGATTTTCTCAATATTTTGAAGAGGAGAATGTGAAAAACTAGGACATCCTGGGTAATCAAGCTGTAATGAAGGACAATTATTTCACTCACTAACAGACATTCGATTGAATAAAGTGCAAACTTACGCTATTACGCTTTACGCTTTTAGCTTTCGCTATTATGCAGAAAAATAGTCACTCTCCGTCATAAAATTGGCTTTGAGGCATTGACAATTTTCGTCGATTATAGTTTTCGAAAAGGGGTTGATGGGCGTCAGTAAGTGCGAGGGATCAAAATCGAACTTTTATCGAGTGTCAAAATACCCATACATAAAATTTCTAAGATCGGAAAAAAATCCTTTTCTTCTAAATTTTCACCTTTTTGGTAACATAGAGACACTTTATCACCCCCTACCTCATCCGCCATGTGTCACTCTCTCAGAAGAGGTAGCACAGTCAATTTTTAGACACACGCCCTTTTGATTGCTTGAGAGACCTCTAACATTTTTCTTTTCTTTTCAAAATGATAATTGATTAAGGCACATCCTATTTTCGGCTGTGTTGCTCACGCAGCCCTAGAAACACTACTACAAATGAGACAAACGAAGCTAACACAATATAGCAATAGAGCAAATGGAAAGACGGCGCAGAGATGCAACTATTCGTGCTTGATGGATATCTATGTTGCATCTGCAAAATTGAAGGCGCGATGGCGCGAGCTGTGAATTCACGATGTTCCGCAGCTCTGCTTTATGCTGCCAATGAGGGGTTTCAGGACATTTTGTCAACTATTTTTTGTCCGCGCTCCTGTTTTGCCCAGTAGTTCAAGTCCTTGTGTAAAATTGGCATCAGTGTCTTGGTCCAAGCGTCATGTTTTATAGTCCAAATGTAAAATCATAGTGACAATATTGAAATGAGTAAATTGAGAGAGAAGGAGGTGTTGTTATGATAACTCATTTTGTAAATGAAATGTGACTTTCTCCTTTTTATTCATCATTTCAAATTGTCATTGGTGAATATTTGGTTTTACTTTTATCCATAACATTTTCGAAGCGACAGCATCGATATTAATCTCAATGAGCCGGAGGTTTGTTGAAAGGAACTACATAAATACAAAAATGAATCATAGAAAAAAGAAGAAGAACGCAATCTCTGGTTTTATCCCGTTTGTACATAGATCTATTAGAGTCAAATGCGTACTATTTTGAGCGTTTGGTTGCGCGTACACCACGCTGCAGAACAGTAAAAGCACGAAATATAAAATAATAATTGAGAGTGCTTTGGAAATCATTAAATTTGACACGGAATCATTTGAATATTTACAAAACACACAGTATGTTTTCCTTTAATACATATTTTCCCCCCATCGATTTAGATGAGGATAATCCATGCAGAGTGTGCAAACATTGCAAAATCATGAGTTGAAAAACGCTGACTCCGCGAGTTTAAATATTAGATCCGAACACGGGTCAGAGCGTTGTGCTGCCAGCGCATGTCGCGCTTTGGCGCCTACAAACCTAACAGGAATACTTCACGCAGTGCGCAATGCGTGAAGTATCCCTGTTAGGTTTGTAGGCGCCACTGCGCGTGTCGCGCTGGTCGCACTCGCCCGCCGCGCCGCCGCGGGGCGCCGTACCACGGCCTAACGGGGACCTTTCCGACCAAACAGCATGTACCCATGTCAACGTGGCTATGCGCAACTCTTCCTCTCTTTTTTACAAATGTTAGAAATTACCCACATTATACTTTTCTCTGCCAAAGTATTCAAAATGTTAGAAAGAAAATTTGAGGCAGATTTCAGAACAAAGCTTACAGCTCTCTACCAATTCAACGGTCGAAAGTATGCAGAATCTTAGCAACGTTGACATGAGTGTATGCGGTTTGGTCGGAAATGCCTCCAAATTCTCCGGGAAAGTCGGGAATACTTTTCTTTCAATTTCCCACAAAATTTTACTTGCGACTCGATCGAAAGTATTTGAAATTCTAAGGAAAAACGGACCGCGTTAAACAGAAAGGAGCCAATTAGCCACATCAGATATTGCCAACTTTAATTGGGCACTTTAATTTTTACATGAAAATGATCTTGCGGATTTTTGTGCAAATTTAAGTGGACTTTCTGCACAGTACGAATCAAATTCCTTAAAAATATCAAAGGAATCCACACAAACGTTCTCTCGTAAAAAATTGAATCGCCAAGTTTTTGCAAATAGCTGATGTGGCTTGGTTCCTTTCTGTTAAACGCAGTCGAAATATTCATAACGTACATCAAATAATATTTATCGGGAAACCTTGGAGACATTCAAATCTTCATACAGCGTTTTTCCGTGACACAACAGTGTGACAGTGTACTTACCACGACCAGCCTGAACACCCAAATTTCGTTAAAATAGCGCGGGGGCAGATATTCGCGGCGCAAATTAGTTTATTAGTATTTATTTAGCGACAGGAGTGAGCGGGTCGGCTGATTTGCATAATCATCGAAGCACTGCCAAGCTAAGAAAGAACGCCGTATGAGCTCTTAGGCGTTGCCAAATTTCCCCCGTTAAAACACGAAATTTCAGAGTAATTAACTTGTGAATATTTTTCTCCCAACTTTACGAAGGTTTTTAGTCGCAATTTAATCAAATGTATATGAAAATTTTACGGAGATATGTTCGTAAATGTCCTCAAAAATAAATATTTTATCCCGAGAGATGTGGCAATCTACGAATGCTCGTACGCCTTTTTTCCTCAGCACGGCGGAGCGGGCCTGCGTTGCACTCTTAAATTTCAATTCAACCAATTCCTGTCTTACTCAATCCGCAGTCCTGCCGCGTGTTAATTAATACCAATGGGACTTGTTCGTAACATGTATTTGCAAATGAGTTTTTCGCTGATGGAGCCCCACCAACCGAATTTCGGGCACAGATTCCGTGCTATAGAAGAACGCCGTATGAATATTTGGACGCTGCCAAATTTACGCTATTAATATTCGAATTCTCGGGTTAATATGGAGTTTTATTTCCTCTAATATCTCAGACAATTTTATTGACGGTAAAATTTACTATTTCCGGGAGTGGATAATTTTCACGCAGATTTTTTAATGCTTTATCTGAGAGTGCTGAAAGAGCTGATTTCGCAGTAATTTCCATATTTTTTTCCGAAATGGGAAAAAGTATTAAAATAGATTTAAAAGGGAGAAAATGCACTGCGTATAGTGACGTCATATGGTGGCATTTCCTATTTAAACATATTATGTATTTTTACAGATTACATCAGTTTGTTATATCTCCTCCAATAATTGTTCAATTTATAAATTAAATTTATCCTCGTGTTTAGTTTTCTTAAACACGCATAGTTTAGTTAAAAACGTTTAGTTAAACACGCATCGTGTCGGACACATTTTTTGCAAAAGCCCTGTCAACACTACTAACAAAAGTTCATGGAACTTTGTGCAAAAGTTAAGTTCCGTAAACCTATCTCTGTGTGAAAAAGGCCCTCCATTTGTAAGAAAGGAACGTAAAAATTATGCAAGAACAAACATATATGTGGTTTAATAATTTTAACCTCCGCTACCACGCCACACTGACTGCACTGTGTTTGGTGCAATGCGTGAAGTATTCCTACAGTCTTGTAAGCGCTACACGTTTCACGCCAACCGCTGCTGACCGCACTGTGTTTGACGCAATGCGCGAAGTATTCATGCAGCCTTGTAGGCGCTAATATGTGTTACATGCCATCCGCCGCACCAAGGGTTACTACCTCTCATCTCAAATCCTCGTCATCATTGCTCTCTGCGCCGCGCCGCTCAGGCCAATTTGCGTGTTTGATTTCCCTCGTAACTCGACTAATTAAAGGTGCTGTCTTCTGTATCACCGAAAGACGACAAAATTAGAAATTTCTTTATTCTCAGAAAATGAGAGACTTTCTCGCCTTTTCTCGTTTCTAATTTTCTTTCTGAATCCGATTTTTTTCTATACCTATATTTAAAAAAAATGCAAAATTTACCGCCCCCTTTTGCCGCCATGGGCCGCGACCCATGTAGCCACCCCCTAAATCCGGCCCGTGGGGATCTAGCGGTAGATGACGGCAGGATACGGTGAGAGGGGGGTCGAAAAATTGGGGGAAAATGGGCGACGTAGATAATGGACGGCCCCTAATGCTCATTCCTCGCTTGCGATGGTTTTCGCTCCTTCAAATCATAAGAGCCGGGGAATGTACAAAAGTTAAAAAAGTTGCAATAATTTTGCTAGACTGCAGCGATGTAAGTTCACTCATCGACTCATTGAGCTGTCATTGCTATCAGAAAACGAGAAAAAACACTTCAATTAATAAAACATCGTTTTTTCTGATAAAATTATCAAGTGTCGCAATGATAACTTTGTTGGTGTTTCTTGTCATTAAACTTTGGTTAGCTTTAAGCACTGTCGTGCTAAGGATAAACGCCGTATGAAAATTCAAATGATGCCAAATTTCCCTTGATAAAAAATCGAATAGTAAAAAAAAGAAATGCATGTTTTTCCTTAAAATCTTCAGGTATTCTAGATAAAATTGCTGGCGAAATTTTCTGAAAAATTGGATGGAAAATATATACAAATATTTCCGAAAATCCGCGATTTGTCAAAGGAAATTCAGAAACGTCTAAAAGCTCATGCGGCGTTCTTCCTTATCGCGGCAATGCAGGCATCGGCCTTAAGATCGATGGGATGAAACCTTTGCCAGAAACATCTATCTTGCGATAAACTTGCGAGTGAAGACACTTAGGCATTTCCTTTCTGTGGTTATTCAATTTGCGCGACTACTTACTCAACATTTACGAAGACTTTCATTTTCAAGTACGGGAAGGTGATAAGTGTGAAAATAAAACATACTGCCAATGACCATCCCGGTCTTTTTTTTTTTCATAATAAATGTGAAAGACATGTGAGCTTCTTTCCATTTTTCCAAGGTAAGTTTAAAATGCACCAAATTGTATACATCCTATAACCTTCCTTGAGAAACACCGTTTAGAGGATTGGAAGTTAGTTCGGGTTTAACTGAGAGAAGCTATACGTGATAAGTTTGTTGATAAAATCACAATATATTAAATCAGTGTAGGGGAAAAAACGTAGTACATCTTTTCCGAAACGAACCATAAAAATTAGTTTTTTTCTTAACAGAAAATTCTCTTCCAATGCAGCATCTAATAAGTACTACATTTTTATGAAGTAAATATGTACAATCCCAAAAAATTATTTCAGTTATGGAACATCAATATAAGGTCCAATTGGACTTCACTTGGAAGTAAAGAACAACTATTTCTGGCTTTTCGTAAAAACACCTAAATTCACGAGGAATCAAATGGCACATATCGATTGCAAAAGTACGAGACCACATTATCTCTGTTTGCAACGTTGTAGACATTCGCATTCATCGATTTTTCTACGGGAAAGGAGCAAACTTATTTTTAAAAAAACTCTCTAGATTTGTCTTCTCTGTCAGCAGAAAATTCTGTATTTTCAAACTATGGTGTTGCCTCGTCTCTCTTCAAAAAAGGTTAGATAGAAGTAAAACATTTGAAACACCAGAATGGAGATACGCGGTTTTGCGTTTTGGTCATCGAAATGTCATCTCTAAAATGAGCTAAACATTTTTAACATTAACGCCTGCTTGCTGTGGCAACAATTCGTGCTTGGCGGATGACCAAATTGCAGAATCAAAAAAGTGAAGGCGCTTTCGCTTCCTCTTGTATCCCTCGCTCTTTGGAAAAGGAATTTTGAAAACAAAAGTTTCTTTAGCGATGATGTAGACTGAAGGTTGTCCCTAAAACTCTCTTTGTGGGTGTTTTTATTTGATTCAACAGAGTTCAGTTTAAACCTCAGCTCAAAATGCTGATAAAAATATAGCTTTGTTCGATCGGTGCACTGCAAGACTTCCTCCCCATAAATAATTTTTTACTGTATTAAACTACTGTTTACAAAAAACGCAACCAAAAAGGAAATCCAAAACTAACAGAAAACACCATGTCATTCTAACTAAATTACACAGTGCCTCATTTCTCATAAGTTTTTATTTATTTATTTTTTTTTTAAAAAACTAAGAAAAACTTTCCCTTGAGATATAATGAATATAAAATGTATTCTTTATGATCTAAGGCAGAATAACAAAAGAGAGCTTCAGGGCATTTATGTTCCATCTTCTTCCGGTAAAAAAGGCCTTATGCGAGCAAGTCAAACTACGCGGAATTCAATTCACCTAATAGAGGTAATTTCTGTCCATTCCAAATTCAAGTTTTTTTTAAAAAATCTCCGTTTAAAAATAAAACAAGTAAAATCAAGTTTCACTTATCTTAAATTTGGTCTTTTTACAGTTAATTCAGAAATAACTCAGGACCAAAACTATTCAAGGAAAAATGCAACTTTAGAGGGACTCTAAATACAACTATGCAATCTCAAACCGTCCAGCATATCACGGAGTGTTTTGTAAAACCCCAGTATGTCACGGAGGAGTCAAAGCAACCGTACTATCTAATGCCATGGGAGTTACCCATGCTTTCATGGCACTACATCCAAAAAGGCCTTCTTTTCGAAACACCGCCACAGGTTAACCGAGCAAACTTCATGAACGATCTCTTAGATAGACTCAAGTATTCCCTTTCCCTCACTCTCGTTCAGTACTATCCTCTTGCTGGCCGCCTAGCGACAGAGAAACAAGAAAATGACTCTTCCTACCTGATTTTCGTCGATTGCGTCAACAGTCCCGGTGCGAAATTTATTCATGCAAAACTCGACATGATAACATCGGAGATTATTTCTACGAGGTATGAACCATTGGTTGCTCGATCATTCTTTGACCATAAAACATCCGTCAGCTACGATGGTCGCACAAAACCCCTGGTTTCCATCCAAGTTACCGAATTAAATGATGGAGTCTTCATCGGCTGCTCAATGAGCCACGCTATCGCTGATGGGACCACCTACTGGAGTTTCTGGAAGAAACTGTCCGGTATATTCCAAACGGGTGGAAATAATAAACAAAATGAACGTCCTGCTGTAAACCTGAAAAGGTGGTCCTCAGTGGGGTGCGGTCCTTTAGTTGACTTCCCAGTCACTTTTCAAGATGCGTTCATCACCAACGTCGATGTGCCCGAGGGTCATGTATCAAGAAAATTCCACTTTTCGGCAGACTCGGCTGCGAAACTGAAAGCTAAAGCAAATTCAGAATGCAATACCACCGTGATATCATCATTCCAATCCTTAATCGCGCATTTATGGAGATCCATAACGAAGGCAAGGCGCCTGCCTAGCGATCAGACAGTTTTATGTATCGCCGCTGTAAATATTCGACCAAGGATGAAGCCTCCTTTACCTGCAGATTGTTTCGGATGCATGATTGGAGCGGCCACTGCGCGAACCACAGCTGGTCAACTCCTCGAAGAAAGTCTCGGATGGGTGGCTTGGGAGATACACCAAGCGATTGTCAGCTACACGGATGCATCGGTGCGCAAATCTACCGAGAAATGGATCCGCGCACCATCAATTATCGATATTACTAAATTGTTCTCTCCGAATTCGATGGTTGTTGGTGGCTCGCCATGGTTCGATATGTACGGGAATGAGTTCGGGATGGGTAAAGCGTTGGCGATCCTTATGGGAACTGCGCTCAAGCTTGATGGTTGTGTTGAGACGTTGCCTGGACTCGAGGGAAGAGGAAGCGTGGAATTTGGAGTGTGCCTGGGAGCTTCTGCGATGGAAGCACTGGAAGCTGACGAGGAGTTCATGGCTTTTGTTTCTTGACCGCTTCACAATGAAAACAAATCTCGGCGATTTTACCAAGGTCCTTTGGTACCTTTACCATCTCAAATTTTTTTACCAATTATTGGTAATTAATCAAGACAGACTGGTAAGCTTACCGAAAAACCGGTATTTTTTCTGTTTTTTTCAGGTAATAATACCACTTTTATCGGTAATCAATTCCCGGTAACTTTGCCATTTTATCTCGGTAATTCTCTCACAGTTGATAGAAATATTGGCGTTTTTACCAAGGTTCAGTAAAATTACCGAGAAAGTTCAATAATTTTACCGAGATTTCTCGGAAAATTACCAATTCCATAAATGGTAATTTTTCCAAGAAAAAACTGGGATCAAATAGAACCCTGAATTCTCGGTAATTTTACCCTTTTCTAAGTGAATACACCGAGATTTTTATTTCAGTGCATAAAGTATAGGCGCAATAACATTGAAAGGAAATGATTTTACAATAAGCGCGACGAGGGAGCGAAGGGGGATTTTTTAACGAAGGGGGATCTCCTACTCGCCATGATGAAATTTTAAAATTTTGTGAGTTATTATATCTACCTAGAACAATTTTATTAAAATGAGCATTATTAAATAAACGTGATATGAGAAAAATAGGTTGTAAAGGAATAACCATTCGACGACCTCGAAACGTTGACTTAACTGCCTCTGCTGTTAATGCCTGCTGTGAGTAATTCTCCCGCCAACCTGAGGAATGAGGGTGTCTATTTAACAGCAGGGAAATAATAACACGACTTTTTGATATCGTCACATTATTTTGACATTCAGGAAATTAATTCAAAACATGTCATTTTGGTGATTCTGTCTCCTTCCATTGCTGAGCTACGCAAGATGCAACGCTTCTAAAAATCGACATGGTCACACCATACTCATGCGGTGCAATTGCAGTCATCGCACTCATCGCAAGCATTGAAATCCGGAAATCGGACAGGGCATTTGAAAATATGGCTCTCTTGTGCGATATTTTCATTCACTGTGTTAACAGTGTTGATATTTCTTCACATTAAACCACAATTGATTCTTGCATTTGTCAGAATTTGCGATTTATCCTTTGTTACCTTTGTAAAATTCTGCGAGAAACACGATGGTGCCAATGGCTTTCTCTGAAATCAACTCCATAGCTCAAAAAAAGCTCTCAAAGTTGAGGCCGCAATGAAGGGTATATCCCACGCTACCCTAAGAGTCTACCTCTACAGCGGATTCCAAGCGGTCGTGCTATAGGGATGAACGTCTTACGAGTTCTGAATTTTCAAAATTGCCTCCTTTAAATATTAATTTTGGAGGGAAGTTTAAATATTTCTCTTTGGAAGTTTTCAGAAGTACCAGCTTAATTGGATCGCATTTTTCAAAAAGGAGCCACGAGTTTCCAATATCGCTAAGATTGAGCAACTTTTTTACCTTGCAAGTATAAACTGATCCCCTAAACAGATTTTATCTTCACGTTCAATAAACTATAATTTATTGTAAAACGAAAACTACCCCGTAAATTTAATTTTTTGCGAGATTTCAGTAGTTTAATTGCAGAGAATGTAAGCTAGGAGCACAATCTTAGCAACATCGGATTGCTATTGCTTCCTTTTTGCGAAATGCAATCCAAGTAGACCGTGCGCAAAAACCTTAAAAAATCGAAGAGAGGGGCCTGCAAGTATTCGAGAAATTTCGTATTTAGTCAAAAGAAAATCGAAGAATAAGTTTAACTTTTAGATAGAGCTCTGTGAATCCAGGATGTTTATTTCACTAAAATTTTACATACAGTTCACTAACGCGTTTTCGTTTTTCATCCATCCTCACACTTCAGTGTACCTACTTCCTACTAACACATAAGAGGACTTACGAATGTAGTGAAATTATCTGGAAAAGAAACTTTTTTTTGCGTATGTGTGAGGGTGAGGGTATGTAAATGTCGTAATGTAGGCTAGGTGGTTTTAAAAACTGGGTAATTAAAAAAATTTAAAAATGTATCAATATACAGGTTTATTTCGGCAACAGTGGAAATACTCTTATTGACAAGTGCTGCTACATATAATCTCTAAGATTTACTTCATTTTATCTCTTAATTTATACAGAGGAGAATGCGCGTGAGACAGACGGCCTGCGGGCTTCGTTAATCGCTTGATACGTGATCGTTCACCTTTCATAGTCCGTAATCGACCTCGCCTTGCATTATATCTCACTGTGCGCTTCATATAAGTGCATTTCCAAATATGTTTCAAATAATGTAATTTTTTTTAAAAATTGAGTAGTGATTCGCGTGTTAAAAAAAGTCTTGATTCTGTGAGGATAGTGAGGACAGGCGAAAACCGGGAGAGCGTCAGCGAAAAATGTGAGTAAATTTTCATGAAAAAAAAGAAGCTGAATTTTAAGTGCTATGGCCAAAAATTGAATCGATTATTCACGTTTATAATGGCGCTGAAAATCGCAGGACAATTGAATTTATGCATGTAAAGGTAATTTGGCAACCTATAAGCATGTATCAGGCGGTTTTCCTTACGATGGCAATACAAATAGACGCATTTCTGTCAAACGGAACTATGTGCATTATGACATGAGCCCTAAGACCCATGAGAATACATGCATAACAGGGCTCATGTCTAACTGCACATAGTTCCGTTTGGCAGAAATACGTCTAAATGAGGCAACAATTGAGGGTTTAGAGCAGCTCTTCACTCAATCAGTCGCTTATTTTATACTGTCAAGAATTCAAAGTTGAGGAAAAATATATGTTCAATGTGAAAATATACGTGGTTTACTTTATCCGTAACAATGAGTCTTAATTCAAAGTTATTTCTTTCTCTGTTTAATGTTGTGACAACTTGCCTCTTATCTCTCTGATATCAGTTAAACCTCTTCATAAGGATCGATAAACAAGGTGATCGTAACGAACAACTTAATAATCGATTATCTACCATAGCTTCAAATGGGGGGATATCGATAAATTGATTTACCATGCCTCGCCATTGGTCCAATTATGGTTCTAACACTTAAGGATGATCTCTTCTTGACTCAAGTGTATTTACTAAACTACTTGTAAGTGCCAACGACATCTTCGCTTATAATGCACGTTCAAGATTAGAACTTGGCGTCTGAAAAGCTTTTGTTCAACCACCAAAATACAATTTTATGACTAGCAAACCATGATTGAACAAGAGAGTCAACGGTCCGATCAGCTGACTAGACGATGGAAAAATTGATAACCATATGAAAGCCTGCCTACTGCGGCAATTATTCGAGCTTGGCGGATACCCAAGTTGCATACGTAAAAAACCGAAGGCGCTTCCGCTTTCGCCGTATTCCCCTGCTAATTGTAAAATGAGTTTTGAAAGCGCAGATATACCTGAAAAACGTAATGAGCTATACGTTGTTATTTTCAATTCTCTTTTTAGGTATTTTGATCCTTTCTCGTGAAGTCTGATTAGTAACTAGGGGGCGGATTGCTGATGCAAAAAGAATCTGAATGATCCGAACACTGTAACACTGCCCCCGATTATTTATTTGTCACCAAATTCATGAGAACCCGCCTGCCTACATTTCACGTTGCCTGATTTCTGTTCAAGTTTTTTTTTTATTTTTTTATATTTTTTTTTATTAAAGAAAACCCAGCGTGTTCAACAGGAATCATTCTAGCACCCTCAGTCGTTGCGCGATAAGACTACATTTTGAAATTCGGAACTACAATTTCCGGCTCAGTTTAGAAACAACGTCTATACCATTAGTTTCCCATGTGCATAACTGTTTTTCCGGAAGAACCTGCAGTAATTGTAGTTCCTAGTTGCTATATACATGCAGTCCACTTATCTCTCGTGTTATATTTTCTAAACAGAATACCTACTAAGAAATACTGAACTTGAAATTTTCTTAGTTTATTCTTTTACAGTTCTCTATTGAAAAATGAGAGAAAATTAGGTATCGTGAAATCCTATTAGGTCGCATTCGGACAAATCTACCTAATTGGCGTTGAACTTTTCTGAGTCTGTTCAGTCTTCATAATCTACGGAAAATTCGAGGAACGTTTCAAGGTATTACGATGCATATTTTTCATGTACCTTAGATAAAAAAATCAGAGAGGAAATCGGGCAACATGAACTGCAGATAATCTCATTTTATTTACCTCGCTTCTTGTGCATGCAAAAAAGAATCAATTTTGAATGGTGTTTTTTCAGTGTGTTGAGTGATCATTCGGACACTATTCGAGAAAATATTTGACTTCAGAAGGACACTAAACGAAAGGAATATGCAATCTCAAAACATTCAGCATATCAAGGAGTGTTTTGTAAAACCACAGTATGTCACGGAGGAGTCAAAGCAACCGTACTATCTAATGCCCTTCGAGTTATCCATGCTTTCTTGGCACTACATCCAAAAAGGTCTTCTCTTCGAAACACCGCCACAGGTTAACCGAGCAAACTTCATGAACGATCTCTTGGATAGACTCAAGTATTCCCTTTCCCTCACTCTCGTTCAGTACTATCCTCTTGCCGGCCGCCTAGTGACAGAGAAACAAGAAAATGACTCTTCCTACCTGATTTTCGTCGATTGCATCAACAGCCCCGGCGCTAAATTCATTCATGCAAAAATCGACATGACAACATCTGATATTCTTTCTACAAGGTATAATCCGCTGATTGTTCGATCATTCTTCGATCATAAGACATCCGTCAGCTTTGATGGTCGCACAAAACCTCTAGTTTCTATCCAAGTCACCGAATTTAAGGATGGTGTCTTCATTGGCTGCTCAATGAGCCACGCCATCACTGATGGAACCATCTACTGGCGTTTCTGGAACACACTGTCCAATATATTTCAAACGGATGAAAGTAAAAAAATTGAACGTCCTCCTGTAAACCTGAAAAGGTGGTTCTCAGAGGGACGCGGTCCTTTAGTTGACTTCCCAGTCACTTTTCAAGATGAGTTCATCACCAACGTCGATGTGCCCGAAGGTCATGTAACAAGAAAATTCCACTTCTCGGCAGACTCGGTCGCGAAACTTAAAGCGAAAGCAAATTCTGAATGCAATACCACAGTGATATCATCATTTCAATCCTTAATCGCGCATTTATGGAGATCCATAACGAAGGCAAGGCGCCTGCCTAGCGATCGGATAGTTTCATGTAACCCAGCTGTAAATGTCAGACCCAGAATGATTCCTCCTTTACCTGCAGATTGTTTCGGATGCATGACTGGAGCAGCCACTGCTCGAACCACAGCTGGCGAACTCCTCGAAAAAAGTCTCGGATGGGCGGCTTGGCAGCTACACCAAGCGATTGTGAGCTACACGGATACATCGGTGCGGGAATTTACGGATGAATGGCTTCGGACGCCATCTATCGTCGATATTACTAAATTATTCGCTCCTAATGCGATGAATATCGGTGGCTCGTCGAGGTTCGATATGTATGGGAATGAGTTCGGGATGGGTAAAGCGCTGACGATCCTCAGTGGAACTGCGCTCAAGTTTGACGGGTCCATTGAGACGTTTCCTGGACGCGAGGGTGGAGGATGTGTGGATTTTGGGGTGTGCCTCGGAGCTTCTACGATGGAAGCTCTGGAATCTGACGAGGAGTTTATGGCATTCACTTCTTGACCGCTTCAAAGAGTAAGCGCATCCATTATGAGGGGAAACGAATTAGCAAGAAGCGGTGAAGTTGATTTCAGAGAAAAAACAGTGGCATTATCGTGTTTTTCGGAAAATTTTTCATAGATGCCAGTGTTTAATTCGCAAATTCCTGACACATGCAAGAGCTTTCTTGGCTCTGTATCGCCGTAAGGTCAATGGGAGACCCTTTCGCTCCTCACGAAAGTGGATTAAACTGCATGTATCTTGTGATCAACTTGCCGGTGAAAACACAGACGACATGTTCTTCTCTTGTTTATCATTGTGTTCAGGATTATCCATAATTTAACAAAAATACCAACATGTCAATTGCAAGTATGGGGAAGTGACGTGAAAATGAACGGTTTTTTTTTCTGGTCCTTCGAGACGCTTTTTCTTATTGTGATAAACTTTGAGGGCACGTAAGCTTTCCTTTTTATGAGGTGAGTTTGAGAGGAACTTCGTCGTATATCAAAACCGAGGCGTGACTGATCAAATATCGGTATTCCTCCATCAGATCCTTTGGTAAAGCGGTGTTCGTTGGGAACACCCTGTCTATCGATCCTTTTCCATAGGTTTAAAGACGGATCAGTCGAATAATCGCAAAGCGTGATCGATTACCGATATTTCCCATTAGAAACTATCCGTGCTTGACGGATAAGCATGTTGCATAAGTGAAAAATGAAGACGCTTCCGCTTTCGTCGTATCCCCTTCCAACTGTAAAATGAGCTTTGAAAACCGCGTATTTACCTTAAAAACATAATGAGCTATACGTTGTTTTTTCAACTCGCTTTTTAGGTATTTTAGTTTTGTCTTATGAAGCCTAATTATTGTCTAAGAGGTGGGTTGCTAATGAAAGTAGAATTTTGAACGATTCGAACACTGTAAAAACGCCCTCCGCTAACTTATTTGTCCCTGAATTAATGAGAATTCACCAATCTAGATTTCACGTTACCTGATCTCTGATCATATTTTACTATTGTTTATTTTTATCACAAGAGAACCAAATATATTCAACCGGAATCAACCTAAGAATATCAGTTGTTGCGTGATTGAACTACATTTTGTAATACGGAAGTACGATTTCTGGCTCAGTGTAGAAACAACGTATATAGCATAAGTTTTCCTATGTACATAGGTGATTTTATGGATGAATCAGAAATTGTACTTCCTAATTGCAAAGTGAAGTCCCGTTATGTCTCGAATTACATTCTCCATACAGAACACTAACAAACACTAAACTTGAAATTTACTCCTTGCTAAATATTGGCGATAAGAGCTGCGTTTCAAAATATCATAGGAATTCTTATAGCCGGCTAAAGAAGGCTACAGAAAATCATATACCTGGCTGTAGAATGCGGAGAAAATCATACGGCCGGGCTATACGAAGCGATAAAAAATTATGCAGCCGAGATATAGTTCCCATCGCCGGGCATTACACTTTATCGCCGGGCATTACACTTTATCGCCGGGCATTACACTTTATCGCCTGGCTGTTGCTTTTTCGCCATCGATTATAAAAGGCTAAGTATGAGAAATTGTGTTAAAATTCCTGTGCTTTGGAAATCATTAAGTTTGATACGGAACCACCTTAATACTTACAAAACACACATTATATTTTCCTTTAATACATATTTTTTTTCATCAATTAAAACGAGAATAATCCATACAGGATGTGCAAACATTTCAAAATCATAAGTTGAATAACGCTAACTCCGCCGGATTAAATATTAAAGCCTAAGACAAAACGGAGCGCCGACGCACTGGCGCCTACAAACCTAACCAGGATACTTCACGCATTGCGCAACGCGTGAAGTATCCCTGTTAGGTTTGTAGGCGCCAATGCGCGTTTAGCGCTGGCTGCCCGCCTGCCGCAGCGTGCCACGGCGCTTGAAGCAACTATTTCACACCAGAGGCATTGCACAGTATCATACGAAAATGAAGGCGCTCTAATATATTAGGAATGACAACAGGCATCCATCAAAAGTACGGAGCTTTCCTCGCAAAATAAATCTACATATTATGGTCCGAAAAGAGAGCAGTAGTCCAAAAACTCACTAAATCCTTGCATCCGTAATTAGTAACGTTTAGAATACACTTTATCGCCTGACTGTTGCTTAATCGCCATCGGCTATAAAAGGTCATAAAAAATTGTGTAGCCGGCTATAGAAGCTATTGGAATTCTTACAGCCGGCTGTAGGTCTATGGTATTTTGTAACAACGATTCTACTGCCAATTTTCACCAGGGGTTAGTTTATTCTTCATAAATTAGAGCAAGTCCACAGAGAATTTTAAAGTTTTGAGTACAATAGGTCTCTAATAACAAAATGAGGGGAAATTAAGTAACGTGAAATGCTATTTGGTCGATTCCGGTCAAATCCACTTAATTGACGTTGAGCCTTTTCCAGTCTATGCAGTATGTCTAATTCAAGGAAAATTCGAGGCACCTTTCAAGGTATTATGATGCATATTTTTCATGTATCTTACAAAATAAAATCAGAAAGGAAATCGAGCAACATGACCTACAAATAATCTCCTTTTAGTTACTTCCGCCTCTTGTGAATTCAAAAAAGAATCAATTTTGAATGGTATTTTTTCAGTGCGTTGAGAGATCTCTCGGACTCTATTCGAGAAAATATTTGACTTGGAGAGGACCCTAAACGAAAGGAATATGCAATCTCAAACCGTTCAGCACATTACGGAGTGTTTTGTAAAACCACAGTATGTCACGGAGGAGTCAAAGCAACCGTACTATCTAAAGCCCCTCGAATTATGTATGCTGTCTTGGCACTACATCCAAGAGGGTCTTCTCTTTGAAACACCGCAAGTGGTTAACCGAGCAAACTTCGTAAACGATCTCTTGGATGGACTCAAGTATTCTCTATCCCTCACTCTCGTTCAGCACTATCCTCTTGCTGGCCGCCTAGTGACAAAAAAAACAAGAAAATGACTCTCCCTACTTAATCTTCGTCGATTGCGTCAACAGCCCCGGCGCAAAATTCATTCATGCAAAAATCGATATGACAACATCGGATATTCTTTCCGCGCGATATGAACCATTGATCGTTCGATCATTCTTCGATCATAAGACATCCGTCAGCTACGACGGTCGCACAAAACCTCTAGTTTCCATCCAAGTAACCGAATTGAATGATGGAGTCTTCATCGGATGCTCAATGAACCACGCTATTGCGGATGGAGTCGTGTTTTGGCGGTTCTGGAACACACTGTCTGAGATATTCCAAACGGACGAAAAAGATAAGCAAAATGAACGTCCTCCCGTAAACCTGAAACGGTGGTCCTCAGAGGAACGCGGTCCTTTGGTTGACTTCCCTATCACCTTTCAAGATGGGTTCGTCACCAACATCGATGTGCCCGAGGGTATTTCATTGAGGAAATTCCACTTCTCGGAAGACTCGGTCGCGAAACTTAAAGCGAAAGCAAATTCAGAATGCAATACTACCGTGATATCATCATTTCAATCCTTAATCGCGCATTTATGGAGATCCATAACGAAGGCAAGGCGCCTGCCTGGCGATCAGATAGTTTCATGTAACCCAGCTGTAAATATCAGACCCAGGATGATTCCTCCTTTACCTGCGGATTGTTTCGGATGCATGGCCGGAGCAGCCACTGCTCGAACCACAGCTGGTGAACTCCTCGAAAAAAGTCTCGGATGGGCAGCTTGGCAGCTACACCAAGCGATCGTGAGCTACACGGATACATCGGTGCGCGAATTTACGGATGAATGGCTTCGGACGCCATCTATCGTCGATATTACTAAATTATTCGCTTCTAATGAGATGAATATCGGCGGCTCGTCATGGTTCGATGTGTACGGGAATGAGTTCGGGATGGGTAAAGCGGTGACGATCCTCAGCGGAGGTTGGCTCAAGTTTGAAGGGAATGGGAGTATTGAGACGTATCCAGGTCGTGAGGGCGGGCGAAGCGTGGAATTCGGGGGTGCCTTGCAGCTTCGGATATGGCAGCGTTGGAATCTGACGAGGAGTTCATGGCTTTTGTTTCTTGACCGCTTCCAAGAGTAAAAGTGAATTGATAGTGGAAGGAAACCAAGTTGCGAGAATCACAAGTTTTCTAAGGAGCGATCTCCTACCTACCATGATAAAATTTAAAATTGTCCGTGTGTTTTATTTATGTAGAAAAGGTATGAAAATAAGCGTTATTAAATTAATGTAGAGTAAGAAAAATGGGTTGTAAAAAAATGAGCGAGCGACAATGTCGAAAAGTTGTCTCAACTGCCCCCCTGCTCTTAATGACTGCCCTGAGCAGCCTGTGGGCCGATTGTTGAAATTGATAGACAAAGAGGACAAAAGGGATATGTTAGGATATATGAAGGCCTGTGGGCCGATTGTTGAAATTGATAGACGAAAAGTAGAAAAGGGATACGCAGGGAGCCTATTGGTGGAAGCGAGTGGTTGCAATGGACGTAGGAGGTAGGTAATTAATAGATTAAATAACGGCAACCCACGAGAGATCCTATAGTTAGTCCATCATTTATCCCCTAAGTCTATACGAACCACCCATTTCAACCGATAGGATCACTCCCTACTCCTTATATCTTCTTTGTCTACAGCTTGTCTAGGTATCAATTTCAACAATCAGCCCTCAAATTGTTGAAACTTTGACTGGCTATGTCGGCAAGATAAGACAAGACACAGCTCTATCTGCGCCGTGTAATTTATCGATCTTCGTTTATTGTCGTGCCGACATAAATTTCAACAATCAAGCTGGTTAATTTTTCCAAATTTCCCCCGATAAAGTATTCATTTTGGTGAGAGAAGTTATGAATATGTACATAAGATTTGGAGAAAATCGTATTTCATCAAAAGGAACTCGAAGCTTTAGCCAGAGCAGCGCGAATTCAGGATGTTTACTTGAATAAAAATTTACATACTGTTCACTGACGCGTTTTAGTTTTTCATACATCCCACGCCTCCGTGCATTAAGTCATAGTTAGTCATTACAAGACTAAAAAATCACTACATAATCTGAAAGAAAAAAATCTGGATAAATATAAACAAATATAAACAATCTTATCAATGTACAGGTTACAACCTGCCAATATCTATTGGCAATAGTGGAAATGATCTCATTGACTAGTGCTCCTGCATGTAATCTCGAAGACGTCCTTCATTTTATCTCTTAACCGGTCTTGATAAGTAACATAGCTCAATGCTGTACTCAACCTCACCTTACTTACAGTCTAGAATGCTAGGCTAGGTTGTTCATTGATTGTACTGTTGGAAATGTTGTTTCTCACGGTGAGTTTAAATATTTTGTCAATCTTTTAGTTTTCTACAAATTGAGTGGTGATTCGTATGTTAAGTAATGTCTTGATGATCTGAGGATAGTGAGGACGAGTGAAAACCGGGAACACGTCAGCGGAAAATGTAAGTAAATTATTAAAAGAAAAAGGTGAATTCAAAATGACATATCTAAAAATCTAACTATACACATTTATAATGGCGCTGAATAACGCAGAATGATTTAATTTATTCAAGTAAGGGAAATTTGAAAATCTCTATAGACATGTGCCTATGCGGTGGTTTCTCTTAAGATAGCATTACAATTATTAAAGCGCTGGGTGGAGGAAGGAGCATTTTTGGGTTGCAGCTAGTATCTCAAAATCTCCGCTAAGGTCCCATCCATTTGATTAAGCAAGGGTACGTAATTCGTTGGAACTGTTACTGAATATTTTTAATGATTTCACCACGCTAAACAAAATTTTCCTAGAGATATTATATTGACTCAAAGCGTGGTTTCTTGTCGACAAAATTATTTTATTTATTTTTTTTTTTTTTTTAATTTAAATTCGTGTGGATTTAACTTCAGGATAAGTCAGTTCGTGGATAAGTCAGGTTTTTCTAGTTAAATTTTTAACTTAAGTAATCTTAACGATAGAAAAACATAATTTCTTAAACTCGAAAGAACCAAATCTTGTAGACATGAAATGACTCTTTGAGTCAAAATAATAACTCAAGAAAAATTTTTTCAGGAAAATGCTGGAAACAGAACACTTCAGCAAATTCACTCGATAGCTTGCTCTCTAAAACATAAATTAGAAGCGGGGATTCTGAAACTGCACAACCAAGAAATACTCTTTCTGCACCCAACGTCTGAATTAAAGCAATAATAATGGGTGAAGAGTGATTCTGAGCTCACCTTTAACCACATATTTTATACGATCAAGAATTCAAAGTTGAGGAAAAATATATGTTAAATGTGAAAATAGGTGGTAAACTTTAGTCATCACATTGAGTCGTATTCAATGGCGTGGCGTAAAAGATCGATTATCGATATTTCCCAATTTGAAGCTATGGTAAAGAATCGATTATTAAGGTGTGCATTGCGAACACCCTATCTATCGATCCTTTTCCATGGGTTTACATGGAAGATGAATCTATATCGACGGTGAAAGTCGGCAATCACATAACTCGTTTGCGGTGTCTGAAAATCTCCGCCTCTACGTCATTTTTTTAAACGCGAACAAATTGACATTATTTCTTGAAGTTTTTGCAGAATTTTCTTCGCATTGAGAAGAAAAATCATGACAGTTTTCAAGAATTGCCGTTGAGTAGTTTTCCATTTAAAAAATAAAGTATGACAGGAAATCTGCGACGTCGCAAACCGAGTTATGTGATTGCCGACTTTCACCGTCGATATATTGCAAAGCACGCCACATCACTGTCTTATTCAAACCCATCTCTTTCTCGATTCAATCTTGTTACGACTTGGCTCTTTTCTCTTTGCTATGATACATCGATTGATCCGCAATTTGAAACCTATGGATAAGGATCGATAAACAGCTTGATAATCGATTATCTACCATATCTTCAAATGGGGAAATATCGATAACAATCGTCCAATTCGTCATTTCCCGAACGAAGGAACGTTACTCCATCCCAAACTTACAAAATTGACTCAAGCCATTATATTTTTTGCAAGAATATGCCGGTGCACTTTTCTTTCCAAATCTTACTGATTTTATTTCTTCATATCTGAAGAAAAATCAATGAAATTATTGGCTAGCAATGCTCAATGTTCTCCTGGTAAAAATATGCAATTCTAGAGGGGAAATTTGGCAACATTGAAATGTAGTTACGTTCTTCTGAGAGATTAAAAACGAATTGAGTTTATCTTATACGGAGGCATCTCTACGGTAAAACGCTCAAACCATGTTTTTATCGCGTTGGCGCTGTTTTATATTATCGAATCTTGTTTTATTCTCTTGAAGCAGAGCAAACCATCATAATTCCTTCGGATTTCTTGAAAAATTTCCTTGCACAAAGAAGAAAATCATGGAAGTTGTTGAGCATTGACGTTGAGTCGTTTTCCAATTTAGAAATAAAGTAAGACAGGAAGTCTGCGACATCACAAACCGAGATACGCGGTTTGGGAGTTTAACCGTAGATCTCTGGAATCAAGTAAATCAAATAGAATCCAGTATGCTTAATTTAGGTTTCCCAAAAAGATCTTTGCTTACACTGCACATTGAGAAATAGAACTTTTCGCTTCGAAAGCTCTCGTTCGACCTCCAAAATACAATTTCATGACTAAAAAACCAAGATTGAACAAGAGAGTCAACGGCCCGATCAGTAGACTAGATGGTATTACCTAGATTGGTAACCGCATAATGAACGCCTGCTTATATACTGCGGCAACTATTCGTGCTTGGCGGATACCCATGTTGCATAAGTAAAAAACTGAAGGCGCTTCCGCTATCGCCACAATCCCCTTCTAACTGTAAAACGAGTTTTGAAAAGCGCAGATTTTCCAGAAAAACGCAATGAGCTATACTTAGTTTCTTAAACTATCTTGGAACCTGTGTTAATTCAACCTCATGAGGTCTAAATATAATCTTAGCGGCTGGCTACTGATGAGAGTAGACTTTTGCCCAATCCGAACACTGTAAAAATGATTGTCGGTAATTTAATTGTCACCAAATTAATGAGAATTTGCCTAGCCACATTTCATGTCTCTGTTCATGTTTTATTTATTTCTGCAAGAAAACCAAGAATATTCAACAGTAATCAGTCTAGCAATCTCAGTCGTTGCGTGATAGGACTACATTTTGAAATTCGGAACTACGGTTTTCAGCTCAGTTTAAAAACGCCGTATGTACCCTTAGTTGCCTTATGTACATACGTGTTTATACAGATGAACTGAAAATTGTAGTTTCTAGTTGCAGAATGAAGTCCGATTATCTCTCATTTTACGTTCTCTGAACAGAATACTGAGAAACGCTAAACTTGAAATTTTCTTTGTTTATTCCTCATAAACTCGGGCAAATTCATAAAGACTTTAAAGAGCTTAAGTATTATAGCTCTCTATAGACAAAATAAGAGAAAATTAGGTATCATGAAATCCTATCACGTCGAATTAGGGCAAATCCGCCTAATTGTAGTTGCACTTTTAGTCCACTTCAAGTCTACTTAGTCAGTATAATCTAAGGAAAATACGAGGCAGGTTTCAAAGTATTAAGGTGCATACCTACATTTCATGTATCTTACGAAATTAAATCAGAGAGGAAATCGAGCAACATGACCTGCAAATAATCTCATTTTAGTTACTTCCGCCTCTTGTGAATTCAAAAAAGAATCAATTTTCAATGGTGTTTTTTCAGTGTGTTGAGAGATCTCTCGGACTCTATTCGAGAAAATATTTGACTTGAAAAGGACCCTAAACGAAAGGAATATGCAATCTCAAACCGTTCAGCACATTACGGAGTGTTTTGTAAAACCACAGTATGTCACGGAGGAGTCAAAGCAACCGTACTATCTAATGCCCTTCGAATTATGTATGCTGTCTTGGCACTACATCCAAGAGGGCCTTCTCTTCGAAACACCGCAAGTGGTTAACCGGGCAGACTTCATAAACGATCTCTTAGATAGACTCAAGTATTCTCTATCCCTCACTCTCGTTCAGCACTATCCTCTTGCTGGCCGCCTAGTGACAAAAAAAACAAGAAAATGACTCTCCCTACTTAATCTTCGTCGATTGCGTCAACAGTCCCGGCGCAAAATTCATTCACGCAAAAATCGACATGACAGCATCCGATATTCTTTCCGCGCGATATGAACCATTGATCGTTCGATCATTCTTCGACCATAAGACATCCGTCAACTACGATGGTCGTACAAAACCTCTAGTTTCCATCCAAGTCACCGAACTAAATGATGGAGTCTTCATTGGCTGCTCAATGAACCACGCTATGGCTGATGGAGCCTCCTATTGGAATTTCTGGAACACACTGTCCAATATATTTCAAACGGATGAAAGTAAAAAGATTGAACGTCCTCCTGTAAACCTGAAACGGTGGTCCTCAGAGGGACGCGGTCCTTTAGTTGACTTCCCAGTCACTTTTCAAGATGAGTTTATCACCAACGTCGATGTGCCCGAAGGTCATGTATCAAGAAAATTTCACTTCTCGGCAGAGTCGGCCGCGAAACTGAAAGCGAAAGCAAATTCAGAATGCAATACCACTGTGATTTCATCATTTCAATCGTTAGCCGCGCATTTATGGAGATCCGTAACGAAGGCGAGGTGTCTGCCGAGCGATCAGGTAGTTTCCTGTAACCCAGCTGTAAACATCAGACCCAGGATGAAGCCTCCTTTACCTCCTGATTGTTTCGGGAGTATGGTCAGTTCGGCCTCTGGTCAAGCTACTGCTGGCGAGCTCCTCGAAAAAAGTCTCGGTTGGGCGGCGTGGCAGATACACAAAGCGATCGTGGGCTTCACGGATACTTCGGTGCGGGAATTTGCGGATGAATGGGTTCGCACGCCATGTATAGTTGATATTACTAAGTTGTTCGTTCCTACTGCGATGAATATCGGTGGTTCGCCGTGGTTCGATATGTATGGGAATGAGTTCGGGATGGGCAAAGCGCTGACGATTATCTGTGGAACGGTGCTCAGGTTTGACGGGAGTATAGATACGTCTCCTGGACGTGAGGGTGGAGGAAGTGTGACTTTTCGGGTGTGCCTTGCAGCTCCTGCGATGGAAGCACTGGAATCTGACGAGGAGTTCATGGCCTTTGTTTCTAGACCACTCCAAAGAGTATAGGAGCATCGATAGTGAAAGGGAATGAATTTACATGAGGCGCAAGTTTACCAAGGGTCAACCCGCCCCCCCTCCCGCCTTTGCCCGGGTGAAGTGTAAGGAGCATTCGTTTTGTTATATGCATGTAGGGCAACTGTAGAAATGTAGGTTATTTTTCGAAGTTTTCAGACAAATTCCTGGTTAAGATGAAAAGACAAATTTAGAAAATTAAATTTTGAAAATCTTAAAATGCAAATGTGTAAGCATCAAAAAATGCGGGTGTGTTGAAAATCTCAAAATGCAAATGTGCAAACATCTCACAGAATACTGTTGACCAGCTTTCCTTTAAAAAACAAAGGCGTCGAAAAGTCCGAAATTTTGAAATTGAAGTAAGAATGTAGTTTTCCGGGTCTCACCATCGATTTATTGCTACAAGTAGTATTTACTTACTTGTTCAAATGTTTTTTTCCCCCCATTTTACAGTGATAAAGGCAAGTGCCAAAGCATTCCATAGTTTAGCAGTAGTGAAAAAAAATTGTCTTTGGGTACTTGATTCGACTGCTTTTGATTCTGTCCTTTCAAGATGTGCCCTCCTTGAAGACATTTGATTCTGTTTTACAAATCGATACCATTACAAATGCTACTAATTGTTATCGTCCCGTCCCTAAGAAAATTGAGATTATGAAGTCTCTTTAAAAGTGGACAAGTTCTCATTATAGAATCTTCAATTTCTAATAGATGAACTTGTGAAAAATTGTGGAAATACAAGGTACCTCGAGAGGCAAATCTACCTATCTACAGTCTAAACTTTGTAAGACAAATGCGATTTCTCGCCTAATATATGAAAGCCCATGCAAAAACTCTTATTTTCGCTTTCACAACACTTGAATTTTCCAGTTTAGTTCTCACTGTTCGGGTGGTTAGTCGGGGACACATTGAAAAAACATTGAAAACGAAGGATGGCGCCAACGGAACTTTTGAAAAATCAAAAGTTATGCTCTGACTTTCTTGATCGGGTCGCATTATGATACATAGTCACTCACTTTTTTGCCCGATGTATATATCAGATGTCAAACTTTAGACTATCATATGACCAACCGTTTAAATTCTTTCTACGTTTTTTGCTCACCTGATGATGGCTAGTTACTGGCGGAAATGGTCATACGATAGTCTAAAGTTTGACAACCGAGAAATTTACATCGGGCGAAGAGGTAAGTAACTTAAGTGTCATATCAAAAGTTAACGCAGCACGGTTGGTTTCAAGTCAAATTCTTCATTTTCTTCAAAAGACAGCATGTCGCTGAAAATTTTACTTTATTAATGATATGTTCTACTGTTGCAAATATTGTTTTCAGAATTGATGTTAAAATTTTGAAAAATAAAATCTTTACAAAAATGTTACTATGTACGTGTTCATGGTTTCATCGTCTAATGTGGAATGACTTGAGACGAAAGACCCTCCACCAATATCTTGGACATGGTGGAAACTTTAACTTTCGGGACTTTAGCACAGGGTAGAATGAAATGTAAGAAAAAAATGAAAGATGGAAATTCCAGTGAAACATTCCAAGAGATTTCACGAGGCTGTGAAATATTTCATATTTTTCAGGGGTTAGAATATGCAACCCGCACTCAAACCCCGGGCAGCCATCGCTAAACGCGCATTGGCGCCTACAAACCTAACAGGGATACTTCACGCGTTGCGCAATGCGTGAAGTATCTCTGTTAGGTTTGTAGGCGTCAGTGCGTCGCCGCTCCGCTTTGTGTTAGGCTCTAATATTTAATCTGGCGGAGTCAGCGTTATTCAACCCATGATTTTGAAATGTTTGCACATCCTGTATGGATTATTCTCGTTTTAATTGATGAAAAAAATATGTATTAAAGGAAAATATAATGTGTGTTTTGTAAATATTAAGGTGGTTCCGTATCAAACTTAATGATTTCCAAAGCACACGAATTTCTACACAATTTCTTACAGCCTTTTATAATCGATGGGGGAAAAGCAACAGCCAGGCGATAAAGTGTAAAGCCCGGCGATAGGAACTATAACTCGGCTGCATAATTTTTTATCGCTTCGTATAGCCCGGCCGTATGATTTTCTCCGCATTTTACAGACAGCTATATGATTTTCTGTAGCCTTCTTTAGCCGGCTACAAGAATTCCTATGGTATTTTGAAACGCAGCTCTTATCGCCAATTTTTACAAGGGTAATTGGATTGCATTTTGCAAAAAGGAACCACAAGCCTTCCAATGTAGCTGAGATCGTGCAACATTCTTCACCTTGCAAATAGAAACTGACCGTCTGAACCAGTTTCATCTTACTCCCAATAAATTTCATGAATTTAACGCGAAAATTACCTTCGTAAATTTAATTTTCTTCATGATATCTGTAATATTTTGCGAAGAATTTAAATTTCACAATCTTAGCAACATAGGGATGCTCTTGGTTTCTTTTTGCAAAATGCAATCCAACTGTCCATAAGGAAATTTTGAATCCCTGAAAGTAAAAGCATCCACCTGTTACCAAGAGGCCAGTGAAGGCTCTCCTGTTTCTGGGAATGACCTTTGATACCGTCTCCCTTGAGCGACTCCTAAATAGCGCCACCCCGGTCGTAAGCGGGGTGGGGATGGAAACGGAAGGGTTGAGACGAGAGGGAAAAGATTGACTTTACACAACTAAGTAATTCTTAATGAATACGCGCAACGTTAATTTCGGAAACAAATTATCATAAGGAGCTTTCTCCTCATCAATATTAATGAGCCCGGAGCGTTATTTTTTGAACGATAACAAAATCCGTCCCCAACCGTGGGAACATGTCGGGGCCGTTAACTGCTCAGTCGACCGGAATGTGTCCTTTCGAAACTTTTTACTTTCAAATTTCAGCTCAACCCTCCCGCTCTCCAACTCCGTCAAAGGTCTCGCCCGATAGACTGATTTCTTCCGCGCGCTACTTAACCATTCCTCGCTCTGCCCTTGGTTCCCACGAAATTTTAATCTTTAAACAGCTTCCGCGGAATTTACGAGGGGTGATTTATAAGTCTGGAGCTCTCCGTTCTGTTGTTCTCTTTCAATCTGAGAATCACCTTTCCGAGAAGGCGATAAGTTGAAACGGAAGCTGCGTTCGAGGGATATTCACTCCTGACGTTTCTGAATCAAACGGAAAGAAAGTCAGATCCTTAATCTGTTTATCTCGACTTGGGCCGAGAAAGTAAATCGACGGTGAAACCTCGAAACCGCGTATCTCAGTTTGCGACGTTGCAGACTTCCTGTCATACTTCATTTTTTGAACAAACAGCTACTCAACGTCAATTCTTTAAAACTTCCGTGATATTTCTGCTCTGTGGGAAGTATAAATTTAGAGAAAACTTGAAGGAATGATGCTCGTTTGTTCTCCTTTAAAAATGAAAAATAGGAGCGGATATTTTTTAACACCGCAAACGAGATACGTGGTTTTTGGGGTAAAGCTCGAGCTTCACCGTCGAAATGTGCATGGATACTAAAGATAGGACTGCCCTTTGAATCAGTCAATTAAAGCACCAAGCAAGATAGATATTAATATGGCTAAAGTTAAAAATTGCGATAGGTAATCCAATGTTTCAAAATCTTCGATTTTGTTCTATTTATTTACCGAAAAACCAATCCGTCTTTGAACTTAATGTGAATATTGTTTAATGAGTGGATGAAATTCACAGTACCTATGTTTCAAAAATTTTAGGTTGGTTTGTGTTTCACTTCATATTTCAACTGAAGGCCACACGAATTTCTCTCGGTGTAGTTTCTAATACCCAATATCTAAAAAAAAAGAAAGAAAGAAACAAATCCTCATCTAAGGCTTTAGTCACCCCACGCAGAAAGGAACCAAGCCACACTTGGAATTTCCAAATTTCATCGGACAGTAATTTATTATTTCACAGGAGAACGGGCCCCTAATACAAATTGGCTATAGAATCAGTGTTCCAAAAGATCATAGACCTATAGCCGGCTTTAAGATTTCCTATAGCTTTTTATAGCCGGTTCTTCACTTTCTTGCAGCCTTTTATAGCCGATGTCGATGAGGTCGATACAGCCAAACAGCTATAAGAGCCATAGTCAAGCGAAACACAATATATCCCGGCGATAGGAACTGTAGCCCCGCTATATAATTTTTTATCGATTCGTATAGCCCGGCTGTATGATTTCCTATCGCTATCTATTGCCCTCTATAGCCAGCTATAAGAATTCCTATGGTACTTTGGATCGCAGCTCCTATAGCCAATTTTTACCAGCCCTGGTAAAAATTGGCAGTAGAATCTGTGTTCCAAAATAACATAGACCTACGGCCAGCTGTAAGATTTCTAACAGCTTCTATAGCCGGCTACACAATTTCTTATGAACTTTTATAGCCGATGGCGATCAGTCAGGCGATAAAGTGTATGTTAAACGTTACTAATTACGGATGCTAGGACTCAGTGAGTTTTTGGACTACTGCTCTCTTTTTGGACCATAGTATGTAGATTTATTTTGCGAGGAAAGCTCCGTACTTTTGATGGCTGCCTGCCATTCCTAATATATTAGAGCGCCTTCAGTTTCGTATGATACTGTGCAATGCCTCTAGTGTGAAATAGTTGCTTCAAGCGCCATGGCACGCTGCGGTGCGGCAGGCGGACAGCCAGCCCGAAACGCGCATTGGCGCCTTCAAACCTAACAGGGATACTTCACGCGTTGCGCAATGCGTGAAGTATCTCTGTTAGGTTTGTAGGCGTCAGTGCGTTGCCGCTCCGCTTTGTGTTGGGCTCTAATATTTAATCTGGCGGAGTCAGCGTTATTCAACTCATGATTTTGAAATGTTTGCACATCCTGTATGGATTATTCTCATTTTAATTGATGAAAAAAAATATGTATTAAAGGAAAATATAATGTGTGTTTTGTAAATATTAAGGTGGTTCCGTATCAAACTTAATGATTTCCAAAGCATACGAATTTCTACACAATTTTTTATAGCCTTTTATAATCGATGGCGAAAAAGCAACAGCCAGGCGATAAA